CCAGTCTTGCCCTTTAACCTGTTTGCCTTCATCTTTTTCCATTTGACTCTCAATGTTTAAAAATCTTGCTTCATTTCCTGTTATCGTCTAATAAATACTAGCTTTGACTGCTCATGAATTAAAAGAGCCAAACAGTCAGTTCCTCTGAGGGTACCTGAGTTAAATCTGGACAGGGAGAGAGGAACCGAGAGGGCAAAAGACAGAGGCAGTGATAGTGGGGATGTGCTCCCTCTGTTCCCAGCTTCTCCAGCGTGCATTGGCGGCATGTGGGTGTGCACACACACAGGTAACACAGAGATATTTTTATCCTCCTACATTCTTCTTAAATGTAGCATCAGCTCCAGTCATATTTGAATATAGTCATGGTGATGATTCCTTTCCCTTTGTTCTTTTGTCTTTCCATTTCTCTGCTTTTGTTGGTTGAGATTGGACTTGATATTCTTGGTGAGCAGGAGGAAGCCTCTGTACCATCTTACACACAATGCAAGGTTTCCCTTGCTTCTGCCCACTCTGCCAAATCACCAATAACTCCATAACCTTTGGCTGTTCTGTTGACAGGTAAAGCTCATCCCAGTAGGTGGTGCTTGTGCTTTCTTGGGGGTAACTTTAGAGCATCTAGAATAATACTATAAATCACTATGATTTCTGTCTCAGTGGTCACAATATTCTGGCTATTTGTTTCTCTATCTGAATTTAAAAAAAAAACCACCAGGCTAGGGAAAAGGACATAGGGTGAGGAAGGACTCTTCCCAGCTCTGACCATCACAGGTTGTTGTATTCAAAAAGTCAGGCTTCTTTCTGGAATTTGATTTTCATATGTAAAATAAGTAGATTGGACTGTATTCTTTGAAGGTCCAGTTAGTCTTTGATCTCTTAAATATCAAACTGAGTGTGAAAACTGTGCTGAAGTTCTCTTTCTTAGACTCATTTCCAGTGCCAGTGGGAACAGACCCATTTCCTGTGCACCCTTGATCTTTTTGAAATGGGAACAGGTTATATAACTCATAAATATTTTTCTAACTTTTTGTGTATGGGCTGGTTCCAATATGACATCATCAGGAGGAAACTGAGAGTAAAATTGCTCAAAATGGAAATTGACCAGGAATGAACACCATGTCCAGTAGTTTGATTCAAAGAATAAATTGCACATGTAGATATTTGTGTGAAATTCACATGTGCATTTGGGAGCTTGCATTATCCTTGTTTGATGTGAGCCAACTGCAGAAACTATGCCCTGTGCTGGGTTAGGATAACCACGAGTCTGCGGCAAAAGCAGCTGGAAGTGCTGTAAGGCAGCAGCCAGGTCAGAGTGTGAAGTCAGCAGTCTTAAAAGAGATCAGGCAGAGCCAGTGTGAGAGGAGAAAGGCAAGTGGCAGCTCAAGGTTGTGGCAGGAGATAGCAAGAAAGCAAAACGAGGGGATCAGTAAGTTCAAAGCTTAGAGATGAGCACAAAAAGGCGGGTAGGGGTAAGCTAGAGCATGAGGTGAGAAGAAGGGGGTCACTCCAGCAAAGAGTAAACAAAGGACTCTGGCTTTTTATTTTTTCCTCTTTCTTCCTCTTCCATTTTTATATTCCTGGGCAGCTTCCCAGCCCCTGAATTTCTCCAGGCCCTAGAATTTAAGTCACTCTTAATCCAACCTCATGCAGTTAAGTTGACCTCTCTGACTTGATTAAAGGGAAGACATCATCTGTATTATTTCATGAGCCTTCATGAAATGAGACAGGAGTCACCATTGTTGCATGCTGCTCCCCAACATTAGCCAGCTATTATTTCTGGGTTACCCCGCTTCTCACACATGCCTTGTGGTTGTGTCTGCTTTCCTGCCTCAGCTAATGCTCTTATTCCTCCTGAATGTCGCAGCCTTGGTCAGTCTCAGTTGCATTTTCCTTTCAAATGTTCATGTCAGGTCCTCGCTCTCATCCAGCTGGAGCTTGCCGCTCCTGTCCCCATCATTGTCCCTTCTCTACAACTCTGTGGAATACGACATGTGTGTCATGGGGATGGAGAGAAGGTAATTCTCTCAATGTAATTATTAACTTCTTAAGTGGCTTATAAGCGTTAGAAGGAAGGAACTCTATTTTACACAGTCTGCATGATATAGGAGGGAGATTAGGATTAAGAAAAATAACCTGGTATTTAATCCTGGTTCCATAAACTTAGCAAATCCCTCTTTTTGGTCTTAGTGTATGTCCATAAAAGTTAGGAGTAATGATTCTATGCCCTGGCTTCTTTACACAGGGGATCAATGTTTAGATCGAGATCACAGGCCATTTTTTAACCTGTGAAGCACTCTGAGAAGGTGATGGGTTATCATAAAATGTGCTGTCATAGTATTAAAAAGGCAAGGGAATTTAGGGATCTGAATTCTGAGTTAGAGTTTCTTTTTAAAGATTTGTTTTTCTTTATTTATGCATACAAGAACTGGGGTGTCAGCAGTATGAGGTGGAGGGCAGTAAGAATATTCACCAGAGAGAGAGTTTAATTCCTGCTTTACCACTTGACATATGACCTTAGAAAAGTTTCTTACTTCTCAGTAAAATAAGAATGACACTATTACAAGAACTGTGGTGCTGGAGCTGGGTTATACAGCAGTTTGTGAGAGCCAATTGTCAGATATTTAGTAACTTTGCAAGCAGGTTGTTAACTGTTCTTAGCTTGAAATTTGCCATGGTGGGAGTATTTATACCACAGAACTTGGCAAATTTCTACACTACAGATTGAATTGTTGAGGCTTTTTTTTTTTTTTTTTCCTGGGCAGTTGGTTTATCAGCATATCACTTAGTATATAAATGTAAATTTTAAACCACTTTGTCTTATTTATTATTAAAAGTAGTAATAGTAATATCCATATGCACAAACCCTAACCCAGTGCATGGCATGACTCTAGCATATATTTAATAAATATATTTTTATATTTTAACCCAAGTTAAAAATATATTAAGTTGTAATATATTGATATATTGCCCTTGAGCTAAGGAACCCCTATATTTGCCTCCTTTCTTCTACCTTTTCTTCACCTACCCCCATGTCTAATCAATCACCACTTCTTACCAATTCTTTCTTATATCTACCCCTCCTCTTCATTGCCATTGCTACTGCCTTGGTTCAGGCCCTCATCATTTCTTATTTGAACTCTTCCTCCTAACTGATACCTTGACCTTCAGTCTTTCCCCTTCAAGCCAACCTCTACTTCTACAGATGTGATTTGGAATTGTAAATCTGACCAAATGACACCCTCGCTTAAAATTGCTTAGTGGCTTTCTGTTGTCTTGAGGACAAAATCCAAACGCTTTAGCTTGTCATAAGATCTACTGTATTCGGACCTTTGCCCACCTTTTGTAAGAATTTCCACCTGCTGCTCCTCCTACTACCTGGAATGTCTAGTCTCACTCTCTAAGGGACCTCTGGTTCATCCTCCAACTCAAACAGTTTTCCCAGGGCTTCCTAGACAGACATACTTATTTTCTGAACTCCCTATTGTACATGTCCATGTCTACCCATATGTCATTATTTGTTGGTCTTTTTCTCTAGATTGTAAGTTCTATAGTAAGAACCTATGTAGCATACATTAATTCCTAACACCTTGTATGTAGTAGGAGCTCAATTAATGTTTAAGTGAGTAAATGAGAGTTCACAGAATAGGATCTTTTTCTTGGTTCACTCATATAAGCTCTCTGGGCCTTAAAATTTGGGTCTATGTAGTGAAGATTAAAAAATTAATGAAGCAGGCTAAGTTTACTTTTATCCATAATCTCCAATATGGAGCTATGACTCCCCATCACTTTCAGGATAAAACCCAGGCCTCTTTGCCTACCATACAAAGCTCCTTGTAATCTAGCTCCTGATTTTGTCTTTGGTCTTACCTTTCTCTACACAAATACATATAACCTACAAACCAGTAACTTATAATAACACAGGATGCAGTTTCTCATTTAAAACATTATCAGGACAGTTAATTTCCCTTTAGGAAGGGAAACAATTTTTTTCTGGTTATAAACATAAGATCTATGCCTTGGTCTATTCAGGCTGATGTAACAAAAATACCATAGACTAAATGGTTCAAGCAGTTTATTTCTTGCAGCTCTGCAGGCTGAGCAGTCCAACATCAGGGGCCTGCTACCCAATTCATAGACAGCCACCTCCTCACTGTGCCTTCACCAGGCGAGGGAGCTCTTTGGGGTCTCTTTTACAAGGGCACTAGACCCATTCACTAGGGCTCCACACTAATGACCTATACCTTTTAAAACTCCCCTTTCCAATGCAGGTTGGGTTTCCACATAGGAATTTTTTTTTAAAGATTTATTTATTTATACAAGAACTGGGGCACAGGCCAGATGTGCAGGAGGGTGAGAGGATTCACCAGAGACAGAGTGGGGAGCAGAACAGGCAGACTGACGAAGTACATTGCTGAGGGGAGCAGTGGGCGAGTCAGGAGAGGTCTGCTGTGCCATGTGGGTCAGCTCTCGTTGGCTGGCTGGGGATCAAACTCGTGCTGCAGAGGCTGCGGATAACTTCATAGTGCTGTGCTTAACCACTTGTGCCACCAGGGAGGCCCCTCCACATATGAATTTTTGAGGGCCACATGCACAAAGTCTATAGCAACATATTCATGTGGCATGTTTGGAATAGCTTGAAAAATACAACAACGTAAAATTCCCCCCCAATCTCATCACCTCAAACTAACGATTGTTAATTCTTTGGATGAGTGCTTCCAGTCTTTTTTTCTTGTGTATATGTGTGTGTGTATCTCCTTGAATAAAAAATGAAAAAGTTTATGTTGTGTAAATTATTCTAACCTGTTTTTTATATTTACATGGCATGAACACTTTCTCATGTTAGCAACATGATTTTTAACCGCTGCATGTATTCCATCATGTGGCTACATGCCCCCATTTAACTAGTGTCCGTTGTTGCAATGATCTGGTTATTATAAACAGAAGTGTGGTCGTGTGGGTAAATAAAGAGAGGGTGATCTCATGTCGTCCTCCTGTTCCCCCAGGTTTTGGAGCCGTCTCTTCCATCAGAACTCTGTCCCCTTACCCCTCTGAGTACCATCTCAGGACGCTGTGCACACTCATGGCACGATGGCTGACCCTCAGGAGCACCTGAGCTGCTCCTCCTCCCCACACCTGCCCTTGAGTGAAAACAGAACCTTCAATGGACTTCAAGATGAACTCTCACCTATGGGGAGCCATCCTGCACCCCAGCTCCTTAAGGACCTGCAGGAAAAGGGGGTGGTGCCAACAGAGCCAACTGAGACCATGAGCAGCCCCATCACCACAACTGTGTTGACCAGCGTAAGTGAGGATTCCAGGGACCAGTTTGAGAACAGTGTTCTTCAGCTACAGGAACAAGATGAATCAGACATGGCCATGTCTCAGGGGAACAACACAGTGGATGGAGAGAGCACAAGTGGAACTGAGGACATCAAGATTCAATTCAGCAGGTCAGGCAGTGGCAGTGGTGGGTTTCTCGAAGGACTATTTGGCTGCTTAAGACCGGTGTGGAATATTATTGGGAAGGCATATTCCACTGATTACAAATTGCAGCAGCAAGGTAAGCTAGAGCATGGACCTGGAAGGTATGTCCTGTGCAGACACATCACCTCCTTTAATGGGATTACCTTTGACATGTGGGTAAATTAAAGAACTAGTGCCAGATGAATACCCCTAGCAGTTTCCTAGAGACTTGTGAATGGAACATATTCACATTTACTGCGTCTTTTTTGGTTGAAGGTTATCTTTTGTGGTTGTCTAGTCTCATGACATTGAAAATAAAGTACATACAAGACAACAGCTCTGAGGAAGAGTCCTATTCTTGTTATCATTTAAAATTTCTATTTCATGCAGGTCTTCACATATATTTGGTATTTTAATAAAGTTGTGCACATCTATAATTTATATATAAATCCTGTAACAGGTGCATGTTTAAAACTTTTTTACTAAAAGTTTGTGCAATTAAAAGTCTGATGGCCATTTGACTAATTCAAAACCAGACAGAAGCCATATAACATTGCCCTTAAAGATTGCAGACATAAACATGGATGGTGCTGGAAGGGATCATGCTCAGCGAAATAAGCCAGAAAGAAAAAGAAAAATACCGGATGGTCTCACTCATAGCAGGAATCTAGAAAACTTAAATAAGGGACCAGGAAAATGAATAACTATATGAAAGTGAAAATTAAAATCAACAAACAACTATGAACCAGAAACACTCTATGGGGGGTGGGAAGCGGGGAGGGGAGGGATTGGGGTCAAAATAAGGGGGTTGCAATTGTATGGGGAATATAAAAATAAAATTTATTTTAAAAAAAAACAAAGATTGCAGACATGCCTTAGGTTGTAGCAAAAAGCAATCATTTTCTTACAGCAAGCACAGAAATCTCACATTTTGAGGAAAGAAAAATGCATAATCAATCTTCAGAAGCTTTATTATTTCTAGATCCCATAGCTTTCTAAATAATCACTTTTTAACTCCCATCACTGTATAACATATATTTTTGTGTATTTCAATCCAACATTATGATTTTGAAGTAAAGAGAAAATGTGGCCCTGGAGTTTTTATAAAAACTTCATTTATATTCTTTAAAAGAACATATAGTAATATATAAAGAAATAACATATATAGAAAATATATAGAGAAAATCTGGAATATGCAGACAAGTTCTCCCTTAATTTTAAAATAATCTGTGATCCTCTGTTTCCTGAAAATAGCTACCATTAATGTTTTTGATGTATGTTGTGCCCTATTTGTGTGTGATGTGCTTTAAAAAAAGAGTCAGACTATTTTGTAACACTTTTTCATTTTATATTGTGAACATTTCTTATATAGTAAAATACGCTTCTTCAGCATCATTTTTAATAACTACATAATAGTGAATTATATGAATGTGCCAATATTTATTTAAACAGTCCTCTATTGCTTGACACTTAATTTGTTTGTCGTATTTAGTGAGTAAAAAACATACCACTTTGAACATCTATATAACCATTACTTAATTTTCACACATATGTTTGATTACTCCTTAGGATAAATATCCAGAAGGAGAATAGTTGGCTACTAAGTGTTTCTTGCTTTCAAGGCTTTTGATAAATATTTCTGTAGCCTTATGGAAATGATTCGATTGTTATGAGTTCTCATATCAAGAAAGTTTGGAAAGGAAAAATATGGATGAGAAATGAATTCTATTTTGTTTATTTTATAACTCTATAACTTCCCCTTAAAAATATATCTCTCTATATCCTGCAGGGGAGGAGGAGGGAGAGGGATCAGAGGGAGGGAGGGAGGAGCACACCGGACTGTGGTGATGGTGCACGGGTGCCTTGGGGAGGGAAATTCTATGGGGACTCAATCTGAGGGGATGGGGGGAAGAAAATATTGTTTAAAAAATATAAATAAATAAAAATAAAGAGAGAACACTAGAATAAAAAATACATATATATATCTCTGTCTCAGTCAAGGCTATTGATAGTTTTTGCATGACAACCAGTCAAACATCAGTCGTCATAAACTGCTTTTTCAAGTTTTCTATTTTTCCTATTTCTGCCATACTTTCTCTTAAACCAATACCAACCTCTCCCTCAAGCCCCCTTCCCCATAAGTATATTGATATTTTTCTATTATAGCATCTTCTTCTGCTCCATGAAGGAATTCTTTGTCATTCCCTGGGTTTTATCTGCCTGTTTCTCTCTCCCTCTCTCCCACCCCTCCCCCATGAAATACTCATCATCATTTTCTCCCCTCTATAATCTTACTTTCAAAGGCATTAAAAAGCTGTTTGATGTCACACAAAGGTGGGGGACTGCTATGGTAAACCACATTATTACCATTTTAAAAGTTGGAACACGGAAAAGCACAATGGGGAAAATAAAAATCACTTGTTTTTTGCCACAATCCAGAGACAACTGTCCTTAATTTATTACTTTTTAAAAGTTCCTGCTTCTCTGCTTAGATATAAAAACTATTAAATCTACTAACATATGTTTAAGTGATAAACTACATTTGGCTTCTAAGGTCTTAATTTGATCAATCTAATTATTATTTTGGTGATAATTGGAGGTTCAAAATCCAAATGCAGCTTTGAAATCAAACTTGTAAAGAAGGGTAGCAGACACAGCCCCTGTGTTTGTGAAAGGGACATTTTAAAATGTTTTCTTGTTCTCCAAGTTTGTATTTAATTTTCTTCCAATTGATTATGTGACTTTCAAAAAGAATTATTTCAGGAATAAATAAGAAACAGGTCTGGTCAGCTTAAGTTTACCAGTATACAGCAGCTGCCTAACTTTTCAGCAAATGACAGGATATTCTCGTGTGGGCTGGTGTTGCTGTGGGCTGTAAAACAAATTTGCTAGCCAGAAACTTATGGTAGTCTTTCCTTGTCAGTTCTGGGATCAGGAGCTAATCTTTAATCCTGGATTATAGTCAACCAAAAGATAACACATATAACAGATGTGTCCCTGCATTTGGTACTTATAAGGAAATTTCACTGGATTTTTAAAAAATTTAAACATGTCTTCATCTCTCATGTAGTATGTTGGTAGTGAAGTCCAAGTAAGGTAGTGCATGTAATTGAAATCTTTTATTACCAAATAGTTCCTAGCCTCAAAACAAGTATTATCATCGACATGACTCAATAAACAAAGGAGAATTATGCATTAAAGTAGGTGGACATGTGGCTTTTTCTCAATCCTATGGCTCATGGTGGGTATTGCAATTAAGATGGTAGTCATAGTGATAACTCAAAGAGAAGGGGAGAGCTAGGAAACAGTACCAATGGGACTGCTGTAAAAGCAGCAGAAAGGCTGGTACTAAACTTGGAGGGAGCACAGCGAGTTTCCACAATTAAGAGGTTAGTTATCTCATTTGTCAGTAATCTGGGCCCCCAATTTTTACATTCGTATAATTAACATTCTTTTTTCTGCCACTCCTGCTCCGTGGTTCTCTACTCCATTATTGACAGGGACATCGGGATGGGACAAAAAGACTAAGTCATCCAATCAGTTTTATTTCTGGTGATCAATTCTAGTAAAAAGATTGATGAAAAAATTAGCTGAAGTACTACTTTACACTTTGTGTACATTTATTTATATTTCACTTAAAGATAATGAATAACAGTTTGCAGTAGAGTAATAGGCCTTGCTTATAAATATATAATAAATTATTATAAAATAATATGAGAAAGGATGACTTAACAAATTGCTTTGGAATAACTAGATAACTATAAAAAATTAATTTACATCAGTCCTCATACTATAAACCAAAATAAACTCCAAATAGATGTAAAGGTCCAGCTTTTAAAAAACCAACTCTTAGAAGACAGAGTAGCTAGTGGGGAAATTGCAAAGGGAATAACAAGCAAATATAGGTTTTTTCCCCCAAAATATAATAAAAAGGAAAAGTCTCTTGTAGAAATATTCTCTTCATATGTACCAAAGAAATAGAGACCTCTTCAACTTCAATAGACACTAATAGATAAATGAACAGCGACAATTCATACAAAACAGATGTAAATGTTAAATGTGGAGAAAATATTCTGTATCATTGGCAATTGAAGTAGCACAACCATATAGTACATTATTTTTTACCTAACTAAATTAGTGATAAAAAATAATTGATAGTATTAATAAGCTGAAGTAAAAAGAGCATACTCATACATTACTATTGTCAGCAAAACTAGCAAAATCCTTTTGTATAACTGCTTGGAAGTGTAGCAAGGGCTTGGAAATTGTATTCTTTAACCCAAGGATTGAGTTTGAAGAAGAAATATAAAGGAAAAAGTATTACATTTAAATTAGCAAACAAAAGGATGGAAAAACCTAAGAACAAAAAAAAATAGAGTACAGTAAATAACTATTTAAGTTTATAAAGACTATAACTATATGGAGAACACATAACACAGGGAAAATGTAGAAAAAATTATACATAACTTACAACTTTTCCATAGCTGTATACATATGAGCAAAGACTAGAAGAGAAGATGAAAACTAAATATGGGGGGGGGGTTTCTATTTTTCTAATATTTTCTAATGTTTCTAGTATCCAGCAATTAAAAAGATTGATTATTATATTAATCTTTACTAATTATTATATTAAAGATTAAGTGTGGGCTTTTATACAGTTATTCAATGAAATATTGCCCATTTTATTCTTACCCAAGATTCCAGTAATAATACTTTATTCCACCCCAGAATAGTCAAAACCACATGTGTCCAGTCCTGCACTGTACCTTTTGGGAGAGGAAAGTGAGACTGCCTGAGCCACTTGATACTCATGAGGCATTAGCAGCCATAACGGTGCAGAAAGCAGTCAAACCTGTAACTTATTCTTTGCCCCCCAATCTCATATGGTATCATTTGTTCCTTTGGTGATTTCATCTTGGTGAGCTATTTGTATTTTAGAGAAATTTCTTTTATGTAACATCTATTCAATTTCAATAAAGCAGAACCTTGTAATTCTGCTCATATCCAAAGAATCGGGCATATGTCCATGCTATAAACCACACTCACTATAAATTTTTTGTTCTATGTGGTTATATTTTGAATATAATGAGAAACCACATTTTACTAGGACTCTGTGGAATTTCTCTTTTCTTAAGATAGGGGAAGTTAGAGAAAAGGGAAATGTAGTTCCCTTCTAGATATTGAAGAACTCTTTCTGCTTTTGCTTCAACAACACAATAATGAGCTGATTTCCTTTCAAGACCAGAATATCTTCAAAGCTGAACTCAATGCTACCTTGTTCAGTGTTCTGCAAACAGTGGCCTGTTAGTGATCAGTGAGCTGACAAAATCTCTTCTAACCTTTAACATTGTCATCATCCTTCTCCTACTCAGCAGGGCACCTTGCTCTTTGATGTTCATTGTTCCCAGCACAGTGATAATGTACTGGCAAAAAGGGGGACAAGGAGAAGGATCAATGGATTATATTCTTCTTTGTAATTTTCATGAGATTAAAGCACATGTTGATTGAATTTCTGAAGTGCTTTATTTAAATTAGCATTTTATTCATTATAAAAGTAATATAGACTTATGGTAAAAAATGTTTAATACAGAAAAAGATAATGAACGTAATATCAATCATCAATTATGCCACCAGTTAGAAATGACCCATGTTAAAATGTTGGTGAAAAAAAAATTAAACTCTAAGAGAAACTTGAAAATACTGTATAGATATACTGCATGAGAGGCAATGAGGTGTAGTAGAGAACCTATGCCTGAAATCAGCCAGTTCAGGAATTCCAGGTCCAGTTCTGTCCTTTAATGGCTATATCATCTTGGGTAAATTACTTAACCACCCGAAATCTTAATTTTCTTATCTTTAAATAACCACACTTAAGCCAGACGTAAGATTTTTGTAAGAATTAAACACATGAATGATGTAAAGCTCTGTGCTGCTAGTTTCTGGCACACAATAAGCACACAGTAAAGGTGAATACTAATGTAAGTGTTATGTACAACTAGGTCCTAAGAGAATATCACTGAAAATTCACTCAGCAAGGATTAATAGAGCATCTACACTAGCAATTCAAAGATAAAACAAATTACCTTTGGTGATGGGGTAAGGCATAATGGTGTCTGGGCAGGTGAATTGACTGAACATCAAGTTTGAGATGAGGAGGTAGAACTATAGGGGTGTCAGGGTATGTTTTGCTTGGAGGAGAGTATATTGAAGATCTCTGATCTGCTGGATTTCACTGGTTAAGAAGTGGGACGAACTAATATGTGTGTGTATCAGATCCATAGTATCAGAGTTCATAGAAAGGTTTAATCTTTTGGGGAGTTACCAGTGGGAAGCAAAGAGTAGAGGTCATTTTTGGGTGATGGTGAGTTTGGTACCTTGGACATGGCTGCTTAGAATGAACCCTAAGCAAATTCTGAGGTCTCTTTAAGCTTGTTTCTCACTTGTGTGCCTAGATACTTGGGAAGTGCCATTTGAGGAGATCTCAGAGCTGCAGTGGCTTGGTAGTGGAGCCCAAGGAGCTGTCTTCCTAGGCAAGTTCCGAGCAGAAGAGGTGGCCATCAAGAAAGTAAGAGAACAGAATGAGACGGATATCAAGCATTTGAGGAAGTTGAAGCACCCTAACATCATCGCTTTCAAGTAGGTCAAGGCTTTTTTTTTTTTTTTTTTTTTAAGAAATAGGTTTTTCTCTCCCCTGATATTAACATATACATTCCTGCTTTGAAAGACATCAAGAATGCACTATAGACTTAATTACCCCTGTGCTATGTGCTTGGAGAGGATACCAAAGGATTATTCAAAGCATGGCTTTTGCTCCACCTAAAGTGAGCTAGTCTGAGTCCCAAGTAAGAGGGTTTTCCAGCAGGGTGTCCTGGCTCACTAAAGGTGTGACTTTAGAGGATGGGTGTGAGCAGCTTATTTTTCCTCTCTTTTAACTTCATCCCTTTTCCCTGCAGTCTTCTCCTGACCTCACTCTTTTGGCACTCCTACCTACCCATGCAGTTTTCAGCATTTCAGGACGAGCATCCCATGCTCATGCCCAACTCTTTAGGCTGAGGAGACTTCAGTAGTCTTAACCTCCCCGTGACAAACAATAGTGACACCGTGTCCCTGGCCCATTGCGCCGGGCTCCCGAGGCACTGTGCAGCCTTGTGTTTTCAGCCATCTGTGCCATGTGTTGCTTGGCCAATGAATCATTCAGGACCGTCTGGAAGATATGAAAGCTGAGGAGATTTTAAACCTCTCTGGATACTGGTTTTTGTGCTTACAGCTTCTTGTGAAGTACAGAACCATGTACACAAGGGCAAGGACAAGAAAAGAATACTATATTCTTTTTTTTTCTTCCAGTTCTTTAAGCAGTCTTATAAGAAAACCCAACCTGACTGTTCCTCTTGGAATTGAGTGCCGAGGGGAAGAAAAGGTAGCAATTAGAAGTGATTATAGAGCTGTTATTTATAGCTACTAAGAAGCCTTGTCATAGTACGGGGCTGATGGGATGATTGCTTCTTATTCGTCAGTCAGAAAAGGAAAAGCGCATAGCATCACCGTGAGGCCCTCCTGTCTGTGTTTGTGTGACAAGTTAAAACATATTTGAATAGGATGCTGACTGGTTTCAAACAAATATATATTTTTATATTCTTAAGCACATGGCATTCTTCCTGCCTTATTCATTATTTCTGTGTAATGAAACTTAAATTGTCTGTTTATAGTTGCTATGTACGTGTGCTCTTGTGGGGAGTCCTAAAAGTCAAGTAACAAAATTGAAAAAAAAAACATTTTCATGGAATATCAAGAGGAGAATTCTGGGTGACTTAGAAAATGGTAGGAGAGTGGTAGAAACAGCTTTGTGGCATTTGACAGGCACGTCACGGCAGGCGAAATAGAGAGTAATTATGCTTCTTCATAACCTGCTATTATTACAAGACTTCCACGTGATCACAGCCCTGGCCGCGCCATTCTTTCCTCACTTTCGGTAGCCTGAGAGATAGGACACGGGTTGGTAGCTTGACTGAGGACTAGAACTAGAAGTCTGGCACAGAGTACTCTTGTAACTTCTCTAGAAAGTCTTGAAGGGAGATATACACACCTTTAAAAAGTGGGACATGGAGAAGTCCATAATTATGATCATTTTTCTTCTCTTTCCTCATCCTCCGGACAACACATGAAAACTGTGGAAAAGGTTAATATTATTATTCCCATTCTTATGGGGTTGTGATGTTAATCTAGGAACCCCCAATTTGTTTGTTTCTACAGAGGTAAAAAAGCTAAAAGGGTGGCAGCAGAGCATATGGGAAAAGCATGGGCTTTGAAGTTGGGCTTTGAAGTTGGACAGACTGGAATTGAATTCCCCCTCCATCACTTATTAGTTCTCTGGTTAGGGTCAGTTTCCCGCTCTGAGCCTTATTGGTAAAAATGGAAAAGGTAGCTTCTATTTCTCAATGGTTTGGGCAAATTAAATAAATATGTAAGATGCCTGGCAAATCGGTGTTCTTTCATGTCAGTTCCCTTCCTGCTTCCCTTTGCCTCTGCATGTGTCTGTGTGAAGTTCTTTTGTTTGACAAAGAAAGTTAAGGTGAAATTAAGAAAATTTCTGAAGAACTTGCTTGATATTCTAGGCCTTGTGATAGAGAGAAGGGAACATGAAGACCTTTCCCTTCAAGGAGCATCTATATGCAGAGGGAAAAATTCTTTATAAATAGCTAATGGTTGCTATGTAACAGGAATTTAGAGAATATAAAGATCTTTTTGACTGGAACAATCAAGAAAGCCTTCATAGCAGTTGTAGAAATAACACATTGAATAACATTTTTTAAAGATTTATTTATTTATGCATACAAGAACTGGGGTACAGGCCAGAGGTGTGGGGGGTGAGAGAATTCACCAGAGACAGAGTGGGGAACAGAAAAGGCAGATCGACTGAAATACACTGCTGAGGGGAGCAGTGGGTGAGTCAGGAGAGGTCTGCTGCGCCATGTGGTTCACCTCCCTGCAGTGGCTGTGGATAGCTTCATAGGTTGGATCTTAACCCCTTGCGCCACCAGGGAGGCCCTGAATAACATTTTTAAATTCTAAACAGAAATCTTTCAAGAATATCCTAAATGTTAACTATTTAATTAGCATATATTGAAAGACTAGATAATAAAATTGATTCTTTTTTTTACCCCTCAGTCTAGTCACGGCAGTCTAGTCTGTCTTAAATTTGGATAATTTAGAATTCAACAAATAGTAGAAATATCAATATAATGTTTGAATTTTCTCTTTCAGTACACTATATGAAAAAATCCTCTATCTAATTTTAAGGGGAAAAATTTTAATTATTTTTAATCTAAAACAACACAATCTCCACTCTACGCAAGTCTCAGTAGACAGTGCTCTTTGTCCCAGAATGGAATTGTCACACAGAAAAAGGACCAAATATAACACCACATATCAATATCTGAAGCAAACAAAACAAATTAAGTTGTCTATTGTATTAAAGGAACCTGTAGACTAGAGGGATTTTAATGCTAATTTAAGAATCAGGGAAGATTATCCAATTGCAGTATATATAATGTGTATAAATGTCAAATTATGGTGCTGAAACTATGCAATGTTTTAAACTAATGTTACTTCAATAAAAATTAATTAAGTAAAATAATTTAGGTATAGAAATGGTCTTAAATATTCTTAAAACATCAATATGTATACATGTATATTGTGTGAATATGTGTACTAATATGTGTGTTTGTGTTTTCTTGAAAGGGGTGTTTGTACCCAGGCCCCGTGTTACTGTATCATCATGGAGTACTGTGCCCATGGACAACTCTACGAGGTTTTGCGAGCTGGCAGGAAGATCACTCCTCGGTTGCTAGTAGACTGGTCTACAGGAATTGCAAGTGGAATGAATTATTTGCACCTTCATAAAATTATTCATCGTGATCTCAAATCACCTAAGTGAGTTCTGGAGCTAATTTTCACCCGTCTTGCTTTATTGCTTTGAAACCAGGAATTTTATCAACCGTAGTGGAAGCATTCAGACGTCATACTACCAGTTCAGTTTAGAGCAGTGCAGTGGTAATTCTGTTTGCATATCCTTTGGGTTATTGGAGACCTAGTTATTTACCCAGATGGCAAATATACCTGGGCACCTGACCCTAGTTTTCCCTTTTTGTTGCATTTTAATTGCTCAACTGTGAAATAAGATTCATTAATGTCTGAGGTAATTGCCTCTCATCTTGAATAACTGAGTGTTTATTCAGGTCCCCCAATTGCATGAAGAAAAGAAAGGAATTGATAAAATGGTATATTTCAGTGGGCACCCATTCTTAAACATTGTTTTATTATTTCTCATCACATTTTGGTTTAGAGGAGAGAAGAACATATATAGTAAATTCATGATTCTCAACATTTTTTATATCTATTATAATATCTGCTTTGATCCATGCAAGAATTGTGTGGGATAAATGCAAACGAGTATCATTATTCTTATTTTATTTAAGAGAAACTTGGGCTCAGAGTCCAAAGTCATTGGCTAGGACTTGAATCCAGAATTTTTGGACAGAAGCCCACTCACAATATGAAGGTGAGGGTTCACAATGAATTCTGCCTCGTCTCCATGGAAGATACAGATCAGTTTTTGTTTATAGACTCAAAGCAATTTTTATTTATCACCGTGGTTCTGAACAATGTTTATTACAGTGGTTAGCTCTGCAAACAACCTCCTCCTTTCTTTACTTGCCAGTGAACCTTACTGTATAGTGTTCATTCCTTCTGTTCACATTCTTAACACAAACCTGCTTTTGTCATCCACAACACGTGTACATAAAGTACATGACATATTTGCCAAAGGCCTCTTTGAATGGTCTCTTTAACCACCTTGTTTTCCTTGAAAAATAATTTTAGAGGAAGTCAGGAAAGTTAGAATATAAAAAATTGCATGCAACTTTAACATCTGTCACTTAAAGATCTTTGAGTAGGCAAAGATCAATCTGGCTTGCTGTTAAGAAAGATTTCTTTACTGGCATTAAATCTTCAGCCAGTATGACCCCAACTTTATCTCAGATGATTTCACCTAAATTCCAGTATCCAATCTGCTCTAGTTTACTCCCACATTCATTCCCTCATGTCATGCCAATAGGTCCCACAGTGAGAATTACAAAAGAGACAGAAAGAGAAGTTTCTAGTGTTTTTTCTTTCTAGGAACTTATCACTTTACCATCAATTATCTCTGATTTCCCATGATAGTTTACTCCAATGGTGTTTTCACCAAGACTAGGACCATTAATTCAAAAACTCCTAAATTATGCAAGTATGTGGGTAGGATGTGAATGAGGTATTTATAAACTAATTATGATCACTGAGCTGTTTGGTAAATAACCCTTTGCAACTGGTGGAAAGGAAGGTAAACATGAAGTCTCTGGTTCAAACAAAGAGGGAAGAGATAAGCTGAGACATTTCTATGTTCTAGCTATCTCATTTCTCATACTATTTGGGTATCAGAGCCTTCTTATTGCTACAGATGCATTGCTATATCATTAAGCCTCTGACACCCTAATTCATTAACATTCTAAATAACATTATTTCAAATGAATTCAGTCTAGTATTTGAGGATGTTAATACTTTGGATTTGACTGGTACCAGACTCATCATCCTTAAGACTGACTAGCAAAGTCCGCTTTGCCCAGGTCACATTTTAGATATTGGGTTGTCAAAAAAGTCATAACATATTTTTTCTATGTTTTTCAAGCAAAAATGTGTCATGACTTTTGTGACAACCCTATTGTTACTATCTACAAGCAAAAAATTGTGTGGCTTCTATTTAAGCTTAAATTTATTCCTGATTTTCCTTATCAACATTAGTGGAATTCCAGCACGCTTTTTAGTCCTTTAGTGGAATGAACTCCTGGCCCCATGCATGGTTTTATTGGGCCATATCAGTTTTTTTAAAGAAGGGTTTTTCTTACTGGGTTTTCCAAGGTTGGCAAGGGTGGAACATTCTATGAGGCTGAGGCCCATTATATTAAAGGCCTACAATCCCTTGTCCAAAACTTTCAGAGTCAGATGATTTCAGAAAGGAAATGGAATTATTTCCTTATATCCCCAGCACCCTATAATCAGCCACACTCCTGTATCTATAGCAAAACCTTTGACAGTCACACAAAGTGGGATAAAGTAAGCTTGTTTATACATGTAAAAAATTCTACACACCATTTTCAGAGCTTTTTACATTGTATTTAAGATACTGTGACCTGAACTGCTGCCAGCTTGCACATGAGAAACCTGCCCCAGAAGACTTAAGTAACTTGGCAAAGTTCACACAGTTAGCAAGTGATGGAGGCAGGATAAAAGCAGGTGTAAAAACCCACTGTGCTTTGCTGCCTGGCAAGTGTGAATGATGCTGTTGCTAGTGTATCATTCACGCCCAGTAGTGTTGGAAATTGCAAGCTGAATTCCACAAGGTAGGAGGAGCAAACAAAAGCTTCAGTTGCCAATTCTAGTCGTGATTTTCATTAGTACTAATGATCTGGCTGTCTTCTTTATTTCTTTTTAAAGTGTTTTAGTGACTCACACAGATGCAGTAAAAATTTCAGATTTTGGTACATCCAAGGAACTCAGCGATAAAAGTACCAAGATGTCCTTCGCAGGCACAGTGGCATGGATGGCGCCGGAGGTGATCCGCAACGAGCCTGTCTCTGAGAAAGTCGATATATGGTGAGCAGCGCCCCCTGTGGCCGCTCTAAAGCCTTCCACACTCACGGGGCTTGGGGTTGGGCGGGGGTGCACTTCCTCCTCTTTTCCCAAAATACTCCTTAGTGTCCTTAGTGTTACTCACTTCTGGCTGATTTCTGTCTCATGTTATCTGAGATACACTCAGTGTGATGACACATAGTAAGAAGGGCTGGGAGAGGAAGTAGGGTGAATACCCGTCAGGTAAATCATCTGCTTAGGGGGCCCTCAGAGAATATGCTGAAATTTCTGGAAACACTTGGTATAAAAAAACTTTTGGAAATATTTTATGTAATTCTCATCTTCTTTAACTAAAACACATTAAACAAATGTGTGACTTGGTGACTACAATTTATGTGTGTTTGTGTGAGTGTGTGTGTATGATACTTTGCTGTCTTACAGTTATGTGCTTTAGACATATTTTACATGTATAAGGCTGTTTTTCCTTTCATTTGAAAGTCCCTGTTGGCTATGCTTGCTCTTTTTTTTTTTTTTTTGCCTTTTTAAAATCTTTATCAGGGGCTTCTGTGGTGGCCTAGGGGTTAAGACTCCGAGTTATCACCGCTGTGGCCTAAGTTTGATTCACTGCCTGGGAGCTAACCCTCATGGCGCAGCAGACCTTTCTTGCTCGGCTGCTACTTCCCTCAGCAGTGTACTTCGGTCATCTGCCTGTTTTGCTCCCCACTTTGTCTCTGGTGAATCCTCTCACCAACCCCCCAGCATCTCCCCTTCTGGCCTATATCACAGTCCTTCCGTACACACACAAAAAAATCTTTATCAGTGTTTCTTCTGAGATTATAAATCTTTCCTATTAATTGTATATTTTCCCGAGGTTGCTTTTCTTCTATTCTTTTTTTTTCAAAGATTTATTTATTTATTTATTTATACAAGCACTGGGTACAGTCAGAAGTGTGGGAGGGTGAGAGAATTCACCAGAGCCAGAGCGGGGAACAAAACAGAATGATGAAGTACACTGCTGAGGGGAGCAGCAGGCAGCAGGAGAGGTCTGCGCGCCATGTGGGACCCTTGCCAGGGGCCGGGGATTGAACCGGCGCTGCAGAGGCTACGGGCATCTTTGCAAGCCAGCACTTAACTGCTGTGCCACCAGGGAGGCCCATTTTCTTTTATTTTTTTTATTTATTTTTTTTTTTATGTTTTTATTTATTTATTTATTTGTTTGTTTGTTTTGTTTGTTTATACATGCACTGGGTACAGTCACAAGCGCGGGAGGGTGAGAGAATTCACCAGAGCCAGAGCCGGGAGCAGAGCAGGCAGAAGGACCTAAGTACACTGCTGAGGGGAGCAGTGGGCGGCAGGAGAGGTCTGCGCGCCATGTGGGACCCTCCTCCGGTGGCCGGGGAGCAGCCGGGGATCGAACTGGCGCCGCAGAGGCCGCGGGCAGCTTCGCAACCCAGCACTCAACCGCTGCGCCACTGGGGAGGCCCTTCTTTTATTCTTAAAATGGGCTACTAGTTAACTTCTAGATTTAAAACCAAAATAATAGCATATGTTAACATGGCATGCAACACCAGAGTAAATAAGATAAAATGGAAATATGGGCTCATTTGTAATTTGGGTAATTATTACCAAAGCATCTTCCTTGGGGATTATTCCAATTTATATTCCCAACAGAAAAGTATGAATATTTTCTCAGTCTCACCAACAAAATATGTTAAACTTGGACCTTTGCCAGCCATAGAGGTAAAAAATGGAATCTTGGGTGCAGTCTTAATTTGCATTTCTCTTCTTATATGTGTAGTTGTACATTTTTCACACCTTTATGAATCATTTATAACTTATTTGTGAACTACTCATATCCTTTGCTAAGTTTTCTCATCTTTATTCTTATCAACTTGTAAGAATTTTATCTATTAAGGAAATTAGACTTTTGTGTATATGAATTACAGCTATGCTTTTCACATTTTATTATTTTGCTTATGGTGGAGTTTTTTTTTTTTCCCTGACAGATTTATTTAATGCAGTTAAATTTATCAGTCTCTCCTTTTATGACTTCTGAATCTCATAATTAGAAAAAACTTCACCATTCTAAGATTATTTTTTTAACTTTCCCAGGTGTTCCATTAGGATTTTTACAACTTCATTTTTCACATTTAAATCTTTGATTCATTTGGAATTTGTCTTGATGTAAGATGATGTATAGATTTAATTTTTTCCCCACTTGTCCCAATAGCACTTATTGAATAGTCAAAATTTCCCTACTGATTTGAGATGTCACTTCTATTGTATATGAAACTCTTAAACGCATTTGGTTCATTTCTGGATTTCCTTTCTATTCTATTGCTCTAGCTATCTGCTCATGTGCCAGAATTAATTATTCCCCCACCACCACCAGAGTTAATTATTGAAGTCTTATAACATGTCTTAATATCTGGTAATATTGTTTATCTTTCATTGATTTTATTTTCCAGAGTTTTCCTACCTGTTCCTACTTTTCTGATAGCAGTATTAGAATTTTAAAACTGGGTATTTGTTTGGTTAAAACTGAAGAAAGAACTGATGTACAAGCCAGTCTTTCTGAAATGCCTTCTGTGCCTGTTCTTGGTCCTACTGCAGGTCTTTTGGAGTGGTGCTTTGGGAACTGCTGACAGGAGAGATCCCTTACAAAGATGTAGACTCTTCAGCCATTATTTGGGGTGTTGGAAGCAATAGCCTACACCTTCCAGTTCCTTCCACTTGCCCTGATGGATTCAAAATCCTTATGAAACAGACATGGTAAGAGATTCATTTCTCCCAATGTTCTCTTTTGTCTTTTTCCTCAAAATATATTTAAAACTGCAGGCAAGTCTCTAATGTATGTTTTGAGTGGACCACCTGATAGTTTGAGAACCTTGGGTTCCAATACTTGCCCTGCCCTTTTCTATCTGCACAATTTTGAACTTGTCATCCAAGTTCTCATCTGTGAAATGGGATAACACCTACTCACAGAGTTGTGTTGTGGTTAATTAAAACTTATAAAGAGTTTTATATGATATCTCAAAATAGGAGGCATTAGTAAATGATACTTATCATTATTTTACCAATCCTAAGGAACTATTATTATCACACAGGTCACTGATCCTAGAGATTCCCATTTCATCATTTGAGGTATTTTATAATTACATTTTCTTTTGCTCTTCAGTATGTCAAAACTGCCTGAGATACAGCCATGCATGGAGTGAAAGTGTTTTCCATGAAGTAGAATAAAATCTTTTACTTGGACACAACTTCTGAGATGCACAAGCTGTCTTTTTTTTGCTTTTAGGCAGAGCAAACCCCGCAACCGACCATCTTTTCGGCAGACACTCATGCATTTAGACATCGCATCTGCAGATGTACTTGCCACCCCACAAGAAACTTACTTCAAGTCTCAGGTAAGTCTGGAAACTTTCTACCAGATGCTACTGAACGGGCACACAGGAACTCTCAGTGAGAAAGAATAAGTCTTAGAAGGAGGACCATGCTGATTCTCATCACAATTTTATGTCTCCATTCATTACCAAATAATAATTAATAATTATGCTACCTCACACACATTTTGGAGGTTTTTTTTTTAAAGATTTATTTATTTATGCGTACAAGGACTGGGGTAGAAGCCAGAGGTGTGTAGGGGGAGGGGGAGAGGATTCACCAGAGACAGAGTGAGGAAGAGAACAGGTGGATTGACTGAAATAACACTGCTGAGGGGAGCAGCAGGCGAGACAGGAGAGGTCTGCTGTGCCATGTGGTTCACCTCCCTGGCCGGGATCAAACTTGTGCTGCAGTGGCTGTGGATAGCTTCATTCATAGGCTGCGTCTTGACCCCTTGCACCACTAGGGAGGCCCCATTTTGGAGTTTTTTGAGCCCTTAACATATATTATTCTCTCATATTAAAAAGAAAGTGTATGGGAATGTCATCTTCACATCTTCACACAGTGGGCGCTGGTGAATTTACTGAAAGGAGGAAAAGAGGATGTAAAAACTGTAATGTATATATATCTGACCTAGAATACTGCTGAACTTCATGAAAGTATTGCTTTCCTTGAAGTAGAAAAATTAAAGTACACAACAGAGAAGCTCAATATCAGAGAGAGCCCAGGATAGAATTAGGCCCAGAGAGAGCCTTTTCTCTAACTTTAAGTATCATCTAGAGGCACCAAATAAAATATAATTTAACAGGTCTGTTAGCCTTTACTACATTACAAACCATCCCCAAACTATGGCTTTAAATAATAGCTTTTATTTAGCTCCCTGTTCTGTGCATTGAATTTGGGCTTGGTGCTTTTGTTAGCTGGATGGGGCTCACCCTGTGTCCCCAGGCAGTTGCCAGGTCAACTTAGAAAATGTTGATGGGCCTCCCTGGTGGCACAGGGTTTAAAGTGTCAGCACTATCAAGCTATTGGCAGCCACTGCTGCATGAGCTCGATCCCCAGTGAGGGAGCTAACCCAATACGGTGCAGCAGACCTCTCCTGTCTTGCCCGCTGCTCCGCTCAGCAGTGTATTTCAGTAGATCTGACTGTTCTGCTCCCCATTCTGTCTCTGGTGAATCCTCTCCCCCTCCACCCTGCACCTGTGGCCTACACCCCAGTTCTTGTACGCATAAATAAATAAAATAAATATTTAAAAAATATATTGATGAAAAAAATATATTGATGATTGACAGGTTCAAGATGGCCTGTTTCATCAATGTGGTGGTTGGTTGGCTAGAAGCTGGAGCACCTCTGCCCTCTTCCACGTGTCCTCTCATCCTTCAGCAGGCTAGCATAGCAATGTTTATATTGTGTTTTCAGGGTAACAAATGCAACAAGTGCATTAGTAATTTTCAAGCCTGCGTCATGCATGTTCATGTCCCATTAGCCAAAGCAAGTCACAGACCACCCATGTTGAGATATAGACTTCACCTCTTGACAAGAGAATCTCTCACAGCACATTCTAAGGACAGGTGTAAATAGGGGAAGAATCTGTCCTTCTTAAGTAGAAATGCTATAAATGTGGTAAGGATTAGTGATCTTAGAACTGTCAATGTGGGCAGGGAGTTGCAAGAGATGAGTTATTCCTATCAAACCCAGGCAATAGGAAAAGGTGTAAAATGGGAAAAATTATGGCTTTTGAATAAATGTTATTATTCTAAATTAAAATTTTATGTTTATAGAATTTAATAATTTCTCCTCATATAACTTTGTCTCAGTTCATGTTGCTATGTTTCTAAAATGAAGTTTTCTAAGATGAATTCCATCTCCACACTGACTTTCAGAGTCATTTCAAAGATTCTTTCTCAGAAGACATTTCATTGCCACTTGGTCTCAGTCTACTCTTTATAGCCCATCTCCAATAGGTGGTGAAGTTACTTACCAGAAAGTATGTGTTGAAAAGAATACTGGGTGGAAGGGGCATCATCCCTGATAGTTAAACAAGTCCTCCAGCTGCTTTTCTGCCTGCCCCGGCTAGAGACATGGACTACTTGCTTCTCTGGTGTCTGATAAACAGACACCATCAGACATTGGGGAATAACTTAATAAAGGCACATGGGTTTTTACGTTTGTTTGTACAGCTTCTAGGACTGAATCAGAGACACTTATCCTGCTGCCCAGAATTGCAATACACTTTCTACAACAAGCTTAGCTGTCCTCACAACTGTGTCTTTAAATGATCAGGCTTGCTCCTAAAGTTTCTTGGTGTTCATGAATCATTATGTAAATAAAGTGTTTACATACTCCTGAAACTAATATAATGTTATTTGTCAATTTTATCTCAATTTTAAAAGGTAAATGCATTTAGAGAAAAATCAGAGGAAGTTGAAGTCATGACATTTCCTATGTTCTTTGGTATACATTCAGATAAATTCCCTTAGACCTATTAAACTATTGCCTAATTATTCAAATACACATAGGTATGGACACTGGATAAGAAATCTTTAAAAAATTTTTCTCTTGGTATTCAGAAAAAGACTTAGGCCCTTTTGTGAAATGTACTTCCTCTACAATAAAACTATACAGACACAATCTTGAAAAGTAACTTCAAGCCATTGAGACACTATATCTGCAGTTCCTTGGAAACTTCAAATTGTAAACATTTTATTCAAGTGCCTCCAGCACATGATTTCTGAGGCCAGTCCACATCATTGTGAGAGCCTCCATAAGTACCCACAGATGGACAAACTCACTTTTATTAGCCATACCTGCAGCATTTAAATTGAACTCAGAAGAAAAGGGTTTTTATGGGCTAGGAATATGAAGGAGAAAGGAAAGAGAAGGAAGGAAAAGAAAATAAACTGTGTGTTGGGCATCTTTTAATATTCATTAATCCTTCCACATTTTTCTTTTTGTATCAAAATGTACCTCTCCTTACATAGCTACAAGTCTGTTCTCCTTGCTAGTTGCTAGAATTTTTTAGGCACTTACAAGCTGACTTGTCTGTGGGTCTGAAATTCACACTATTTCTTACTAGTGATAATAAAGTGTTTAAGAACTAGCTAATGAGGTAGCAGGAAAAGTGACAGACCTTGAGTCTAAACCCCTGTACTGTGACCTCGGCTAAGTCACTACATTTCTCTAAACCTCAGAGAGCTCATCTAAGCAATGAACGTAATCATATCTCCCTTCCTCTTAGAGTTTGGTGAGGATCAAATGAGATGATAGAAATGCAAGCATATTGAAAGTGTAAAGACCAATTTGATGGTGAGTTGTTATTATTCACCCCTCATAAAGCTACAGAAATTCAGCTTTGGGCTGTTTCACTCTGCGATTTACCTGATAAATTCCTGAGATGCACAAGATGGCATCCAGGGATCTCCTGTTGATTGTGTTTTGACCTTATCCTCCTAAAGTGGGGAAGAACTGGTTGTTTAGCACTAGCTTTGCTTTCCTCTAGCAGTCTTGGCTTCTGCCTGCTGACAAAATCCTCTCCCCATCAATCATCAGTCTGTGGTTGTTAGCTACTGATCTCTACCTTCCCCCTAAACTGTCAGTCAGGGGGTGCCAAGAGCCCAGCTGACTCCTTCCTGAGAGAAATTGCTCATCAACAGATCATGTATAAAGATGCAGCATATGTAGAACAGATGAACAAAGCAACAAATTTCAATTCAATATTAGATTATGCCAAAGCTATGGCTTCATTCCTAGACAATAACCCATTCCTCCAAGCAGGCAATTATTGCTCCTTGTATTCAATTATATTTGATATGAGTCTTCAGGAAGCATTTTAGCCCAGTCAGACCCCAGCTGCTAGGTGCGTCATGTGCCTTGCTTCTAAGTTCTTCCACCACCCTTTGCCTTTGCCCCATTTTAATTTCCTTTAAAGTGCCGCTGTGTCTCCCCTGTAATTCAGGGACTGGGAGTTGCAGGGACATTCTCTCCCTATAGGGCCAGATCATGCTGCCCTCAGGGTTATCCCATCTTGAGTTAGCAGGAGCTTGGGCAGAGGCTGAGCTCGCAGACCTGTGGAGGAGAGAAGAGGGCTCATGTGCCAAGAGCTAGATGAAGTGTTTTCTCACCAAGAATCTGATTCCTGGCTCCTTCCTCCCCAGCATCCACTGCTTCTCTTTTCCTCAAGCTAGGCTGGAACTGGCTCAGCTTCTTTCTTCTTTTAGTTTTGATAAAATATATATAATATAAAATGTTCCATTTTAAGTGTACAATTCAGTGGCATTAATTACATTCACAGTATTGTGAACCCATCATCACTATTTCCAAAAGCCTTCATCACCACATTAAACAATAACTTACAATCTCTCGCTCCCCTCAGGCCTTGACAATTTATGTTCTGCTTTCTGTCTCTATGAATTTGCCTATTCTAGATATTTCATTCAAATTAAATTATACAATATTTTTCCTTTTGTGTTTGGCTAGCGCCACTTAGCATGTTTTTGAGATTCACCTATGTTATAGCATGCATCATAATGTCTCTCCTTTTTGACTGAGTAATATGCTGTTGTATGCATATACCCCATTTTGTTTATCCGTTCATCTTGTCATGCAACTTCATTTTGACCTGTACTTTGGGGAGAAAAAAGCAGCTTCAGTCTACTGATTGAATAACTGGAAAAGACAAAGGTCCTAATGTTCTCACCTTTCCTAGACCTTATCTGGGACATAAAGAAGATTCCATTTAAGTGTTATAACCTAAGTTTCACTGGATTTTCCCTTTACATGCTTACACAGGACTTAAGTACCTTGTCAAGCACCCCTTACTTTCTCGCCCCAGATCCCCAACTTGTATCTTGAGGGAAATCCCCAGTGAAGGGTGGGAATCTCAAATAGGCTCATATTAACATCAGATTTGCTTTTCACAAACTCTGGCCAGACACAGCCATCTCCTGCTTAGCATCTGCTGGTATAACATTATTGGTTAGCACTGTTTCCTGCTAAAGGACTGTGGTCCCCAGCTGGCATCTATTGGATGCCACTGCATCCTTAAAGCACCCACTGGAGCTGCTATTTCCTGCTTTTACAAGGTCTGCACTTCTCAAGATGCCAAAGCTGCACATGATTGTTTACACAATGAACTCTTCCTTTTCCTGTTGAGTTACACTTTACAAAGATAACAGAGCAATGCTGGTTGTGACCCAGTGTTTTATAGGTGTATTATATGTGTGTATGTGTGTGTGATTATGTAGAAGAACTGGGGTGTAGGCCAGAGGTGTGGGGGGTGAGAGGATTCACCAGAGACGGAGTGGGGAGCAGAACAGCCAGACTGATTGAAATACACTGCTGAGGGGAGCAGCAGGTGAGACAGGAGAGGTCTGCTGCGCCATAAGTGGGTTCGCTCCCTGGCCAGGGATCAAACTCAGGCTGTAGTGGTGCTAGCACTGAGATTTAACCCATAGGCCAATAGGGAGACCCCCATTTTATAGGTATTTTAATGCAACAATGGGCAATGCCCCTGCTGTCCTATGATGGTGGTTTTGTTGTCGGTCAAGTTCACATGGGAATCCTTCACCCATGACATGTTTTCTCTCAGAGGCTCCTCAGTCTCTGTGCAAATGTGCTTCAGGCCTGCCCACCCTCCATGTCTTCAGATATGCCCAGACATGCCTGATTGCAGATGAAGTGCAAATTGGAACTCTTATTACATAAAGAGTCTAAGTATGTGTGATGAAACTTCAAAATTAACATATACCAGTAACATGATACCTTTGGGGAAGGAAAGCACATTATTATTCAGTGCCTGGCATTTTCCCACACATCTTGTTCTACTTTCTTAATGGGTTTTAATCTTCAGATGGTTTGCTAGATTTCCCATACCCATAAGTTACACATCAGGAGGTTTATTTCTTCAGAATTTAAAAAAAAAAATCTAATCTGTGTGTCTGATTCCTCACCACCAGGTGGGATATTCCTTCATCTGGTCCCTTTAAGTGTTGTACTGGTATAATATTGTATCAGTACTATTGTATTGTAGGTAATAATATTGTACTAAGAAAAAATAATAATAATATTATACTAAGGATAACATGGTCAGGTGTTTGCATAAAAGGGTTGGTTTAAGGCCCAAATTTGACCTCCTTTTTTCTTTTTTTGGTCTAATAGTTTTTAACTGTTGATCTTTGGCCTCTCAAAGATATTCTTCCTACTTCATGATTTTTCTCTGATGATTTAAAGAACAAATAGCATTATTTGAAGCTCAACCAAACCTGCATTTATTGCTTAGATACTGTCAAAGACTGTTACCAAACAATGAGTAGTAGCACATTCTAGATCTTGACTTTTTGATGGCATTGTTTGGCAGGTTTGGTGTCTGAAAGTGAAGACAGAATCTCTCTCCAATGGTCAGTCAACAAATATATATATTTATATGAAGATCTAGCACATTATAAACAGATAGGCAGGGTCATCACTTTCTAAATAATTACAATATAACTGTCTCAATAAAAAAAATTAATGAGAAATAGCAAATACATATAAAAATAGTAACTTCACAACTACTTAAGCATAACTTCTTCCATGACCTAGAGCAATAATTTTTAACATGAATCTAAAGGTAATGGAAAAGTTCTAGAGGGATATTATGCAATGCAAGACATTTAATTACACATCTAGCCTTTGCTCAGTCAACCTCAGTCATTTCTTGGGGTGGTAGTCTATACAAAGTTTGAGAAAACATCTCAAGCTATTTGTCTAGAAATGGCCCAGCATTGTATCCCAGCAGAGGTTTTCCTGCCCCTCCCCCCAAATTTTGATAAAATTAACTTGGAATTGATTCTCTGTGGGAAGTCCAGTGTGTTTTTTAACACCTTTTGAATCCATGGGAGATTTTTTTTTTTTTTTTTTTTTTTTTTAATTTTCTAGAGGCATGTCTTATTTATCTATTTGTTTGTTTGTTTGGTTTATATAAGCACTGGGTACAGTCAGAAGCCGGGAGGGCGAGAGAATTCACCAGAGCCAGAGCGGGGAGCAGAGCAGGCAGAAGGACCGAAGTACACTGCTGAGGGGAGCAGCGGGCGGCAGGAGAGGTCTGCGCGCCATGTGGGACCCTCCTTCGGTGGCCGGGGAGCAGCCGGGGATCGAACCGGCGCCGCAGAGGCCGCGGGCAGCTTCGCAACCCAGCGCTCAACCGCTGCGCCACCTGGGAGGCCCAGAATCCATGGGAGATTTACAATTTCATGCCCACTCTGGCTTTTACAAGGCTTTGCCTTGTAAAATTCTTGGCCTGCCCCTTTTCTGCCATCTTGTGGTTATTCCTTTATCTTTGTTTTGTCATTGACCCAAACATAAAGTTCAGCACATTTCCTTGATTTCTAAAAGAACAGAACAACTAAAAACACTCATTCAAAGTCAAGTGAATGTCAGAGACTTTATCAAAGGCTTAGGAAACTAGAAAAGGCTTCCATTTTGAACTTAGATCACATTAGATATCCAGCCCTGTTTTAGAATTATTGTCAGACTACTAAGTTCTTTAGCCATTTCTCCTGTTCCTCTTCCCTTTTTCTGTTTTTTCATCATATTTTTATTCCCACCTCCTGCTGTTCATGTCCTTTGGGTCTTCTACTCCAAACATTTTCTCAAGATATTTTCGTAAACTTAGCCTAGGAAAGATTCAGGTGCTAATTATAAAGATAATCATATTCTCACAGATACATACTGTAGCATGCGGTTATCAGAATAGTTCTTTCTTGTCAGGCCATCCCAACCACCATCTTGACTTAAAATAGAGTTCTTTTGTTCCAGAGGTGATGGCTTGTATGCCAGCTATAACATTTCTTATGGCCAATACTATAAAAAAGAAACCCAAGAGAAATAGTATCTCATATTGGATTAAACATAAAAAGTAGGTGGGGGGTGCAGATTACACTAACATGAGCTATTTTTCCATCAACTAATACCTACTGAACAGCTATTTTGTAAAGCTCCTCAGTAGAAGCATCAGGGAAAAAAATATGTTGTACATGATCCAATGGTTATATCAGAAACTGAAGCGCCTAAAATATCAACAAAATCTAATCTGCCCTTGTCCAGGCCGAATGGAGAGAAGAAGTGAAAAAACACTTTGAGAAGATCAAAAGTGAAGGAACTTGTATTCATCGATTAGATGAAGAATTGATCCGAAGGCGCAGAGAAGAGCTCAGGTCAGCTGATCCTGCCTTCCCCGCCTCCTCCTAGGGGAGGAAGCGGCCTCTCGTAGGAACTGTCTTTCTGAATTACATTTTCATACTTTTCATCTCTGCTGTTGATGATTGCTCTCTTTAAAAGTTAGACCTCCTTTATATTGCCTTCTTATCCTCTCCCCTCAATTCAACAATCTTCCCTTTTTATGCATATCTGCAACTAAGTCTCCAGGAATAATGCTGATTGTTCACTCAGTCCCTGTCTTACATGATACGGAAAGCCAGAAATTTTTAAGATATTGTGCCTATTCATATATGACTGCCATATTAGTCCCATGGATAAGTATGAATGAGTGGATATTCCACTGACAGATGAATTTATTATACCGTATTCTTAGCAAGGTATTGCCAACACTACGTAAATGAAGGCTACAAATTATACACAATTCACATTCAGATGTTATCTGTGGCCCTCCTGGCTTTTCTGTATGACTGGATATGGCCTTTAATGATAACCCAAGAAAAGAGCTCTGACATCCCATCACCCACTCCATCTTGAGCCATTGTTTGGACAAGGGAACCTTAAATTTAGAGACCCCTTGGGCAAATACTTTGAGATTAAACCCTCCTGGTTCTTATTTCTTTAGAACTGAACTTTGTTCGCTTCCAAATTACCTGGCTTTGCTGATTCAGTGTTTTCTTGGACAGGCATGCTTTGGATATTCGTGAACACTATGAGAGGAAACTTGAGCGGGCTAATAATTTGTACATGGAGCTGAGTGCCATCATGCTGCAGCTAGAGATGCGGGAGAAGGAGCTCATTAAGTAAGTATCTGTCTGTCCTTCCTGCGTTATTTGGGTTTCTCAATCAGCAGCTCAATCAGCAGGTTTCTCTTCTATGCTGTGCCACTGAGAACTGACAGATATTTTATTCATTTTCCCAACATTCCTAAAAGGATGGCATGTGCTGTGCCACTTCCCAGGGGCTCTTGCCTCTGGGAAGGTATACAGTTAAGTGGAATTGCCATCCAATTGGTTATGGGAAAAGATGTTCCGGAAGCTGAAATTTGCAGCTTCACCCTCTGAACGTTCACAGAGAGGGTCCTCATTTCAAGAAGAGCTTGGTGTGGATGAGTGGGAGTTTATTGTCCCCTGGTGGCTGCTGCAAGTGGTTTAGGATATTCCTGATAGTGGCAAGAAGATCCTGGGGTGCTGACCAAAACAGCAGCTACTCAAAATAAGTAGGGCTTCCACCATGGCATTGGTTATTACACTGTATTCTTCAAGGTGTGCTGGGGATGGGAAGGTCAGCCTCTGAATGCATCCGTGCATAAGCTGAAGAGCACAATGAAATCAGGTTAGTTCGAATTTAGTATCTTTTTTTTCCTATTTAACCTCAATAGCAGCCTTGTTGTCCAAATGGCTGAGATCTCTTAAGTGTGGGCCGAGCCTGTGGCCAGCCTATGAAAATATTCTGCCCATCCTTTCTGTCTGCAGTGACTGAGATGTGGCTTTTTCTTTCCTCCCTGCAGGCGTGAGCAAGCAGTGGAAAAGAAGTATCCTGGGACCTACAAACGACACCCTGTGCGTCCAATAATCCACCCCAATGCCATGGAGAAACTCATGAAGAGGAAAGGGGTGCCTCACAAGCCTGGGATGCAAACCAAACGGTGAGACACCTGTGCCAGCCTGATATTCAGATAGATGGGAAAACACTCCCCCTAAAAACACAGTATCAGGTGGTGGTGGGTATGGCTACTCTGGGCCTCGTCATTAGCAAACATGCCCTGCGATAGAACAGAGGATGAGTGTGCCGTGGACTCTAAGAATCTAGTTCTCACTCTGTAAGGCATATTTTTTTAAGATTTATTTTTATTTATTTATGCATACGAAAAATGGGGTGCAGGCCAGAGGTGCAGAGGGTTAGAGGATTCACCAGAGACAGAGCGGGAGCAGAACAGGCAGACTGACTGAAATACACTGCTGAGGGGAGCAGTGGGTGAGTCAAGAGAGGTCTGCTGTGCCATGTGAGTCAGCAGTCTGGCTGGGGATTCAGCTCATGCTACAGTGGCTGCTGATAGCTTAAACCCCTTGTGCCACCAGGGAGGCTCCTATTTGGTTCTTTCCAATAGTGTAATGAATGCCTGTAAATCCACCGCCAAACCAAAAGCAGGTGTTTTGATAACTACCTCTATCTAACCCGAAGTTTCCCACTCTTGTATGGGACTTCTGTGAAATTTGAATAAGGTAGCATGTAAAATCACCTAGAAAATCTTAGGTGATCAAAAAATTGGTATTCGAATAGTTTGAAAAATAGATTTCTCTTTCCCCTAACTACAAAACATGGTTCTTATGTTAACTTAACCTTAGAAAACTCCTCCAGTCAGTTTTTATCACCACGCACTGCCAAAGCCTCATTCCCCCTAAAATAATGAAGGCCTGATTCACCTTTAAGCTAAAGAAAAGAAATGAACCTAAACCTGAGGGGTTGACCCAACAGTGAAACTTTAACCTAGTGTGCTAAGAATAAAAGTAATGAGAAGATGCAAACCAAAAATGTAATTTAAGATTTTCCAAATGGTGGTCATTCTACCACACCATGACTAATATAAGCCTAATTTATCATTAGTTACTAGGTAGTAAACTATATACCTAATAGGTAACTACGTGGATTAATCACAATTTTTCATGCATTTACTACCCACAACTATCCTGTAGTTAGGTTCTGAGGCATTGTCACCAGGTGACACCTGACAAAACTCTCAGGAACCCCAACACCTCTTTTCTGGGTGTACTAATTAAACAAGAGGTCACCTGTCAGCTCCTCTTTGATTCTGCATAAAGTTAAATGAAGAGGTTGGGGGGGAGAGTCACTTTTCAAAATAAAAGCTCACTTTTACTTTCACTTTTATGTAAGAAATATATTAGAAAGTTTGACCATCAGCAGATGCCTAGTTGTATGAGCACATCCCAGGACGGCAGCCCAGAGTGGGGATCAGGACAGCAGAGTTACACTTTCAGATTGTTGGTTGGATTTCAGGTAATTTGGACAGTTCAATGATTATCACATCAGAATCCAGTGACCTCTGAAGTGATCGAGAGGAACCAGCCACCATCCTCTAGCCTAGGCTTCAGTCTCTATTTACTAAGGGACTAAACAGAAGAGACAGAATCTATTTATGGATCCAGCAAGCCTATCAAAAGTGAGTTGAGGAGCCTCCCTAGTGGTGCAAGGGGTTAAGTCTCAGCACTATGAAGCTATTGGCAGCCACTGCAGCATGAGTTCAATCCCCGGCCAGGGAGCTGACACACATTTGGCACAGCAGACCTCTCCTGACTCGCCCGCTGCTCCCCTCAGCAGTGTGTTTCAGTAGATCTGCCTGTTCTGCTCCCCACTCTGTCTCTGGTGAATCCTCTCACTCCTCCCCTCCCCCACACCTCTAGTCTACACCCCAGCTCTTGTATGTATAAATAAATAAAATAAATCTTTAAAAAGTGAGTTGAATCCAGTAAGATAGCTTGAAAGCTTCATAATAAGAAGCATGGAATCATGAAGGAGCTACTCCCTGGTGTCCAAAGATTTGGGCTTGATTTATAACTTCTGCCATTTATTAGCTTTGTCATAGACACAAGCCAGCTAACCTCTCTGATACCTCTGTACCCTTATTGTGGGTATTCTGACAGTAGGAAAGCGTGTTTATATATTGTAAACTGCTTTGTAAATGACACAATGCTGTGACAACGTCATTTTGTGATTTTTGCCCTGCCAGCGTCAAAAAAGCAGTCTTCACTGACAGGACACTTTCACCTCAGCCCTCTTTTAGATCCCCCCATAGCTACTAGTCACAGATGCCTCTAACTGGCCTTTGGAGGGCTCTCCCTAGGACCTCTTCTGTCTGATTATCTTCTGTGTCTCAACTTGACCAGCTTGTGAACCTGAGACAGGAAGCTGCTGATGGCGGTACTGTCCTGACTCTTTGCCCCATCCCAGATCTCCTCGATCATTTTAATAAACTCCCAAGCAATTTGCATGCACCTACAAGCTTGTGCTCTGACTATCCAGGAAGCCAGATGGGCAATGAGTAGACTGCTTGTCTGGATTCTATCAGTAACAAGCGGTAAGACCCTGAACCACTTTGGCTGGCCTTTGGGGTCCTCATCATAGAGGATGCTGGCAGGAACCTCTGGTTTCCATACAAGGTGTGGGACACCGTGGGGCCTGCATAAACAGGCATCTCAGAAACTACTGCAGGGGTAGAGAGGATGAAGTGGGTGAGGCCTGCAGGGAAGGGCTCACCTCACCATCTCTTGTCAACTGCTCTACTATAGCTGGGCTTTTTGTCTTTTAAATATAATTAACATTACATAGCATTATATTGATTTCAGATGCACCATGTTAGGATTCAGTGCATGTACATATTGCTACACAATCACCACAATTAGTTTAATTGACATCCATCATCACACAGTTATAATTTTTTTCTTTGGGAAAACTTTTAAGATCTGCTTTCAATGTAATACAGTATTATTAACTATGGTCTCCATGCTGCACATGACACCCCCATGGCTTGTTTATTTTATAATTGTAAATTTGTACCTTTACCCATTTCACCCATCTCCCCTTCTCACAACCACTACCACCAATCTATATTGGCAGTTACCAATCTATATTCTCTTATTCTATATGTTTTGTATAGTGGGTTTCTCACAATAACTCGAGAAAACGATTCTGTTGTTAAAGGAAAAAGCTGGGTTCCTCCAGCTCTGAAATCTCCTGCTGACTTGTGTCTGGTTCTAAAGGAGGGTGAGGCCACTCCCTGATGGGAAGGAAGTAGTGGTGAATCAGTACCTGAGTCAGTTCCCTTGGAAACCACTTACTGTTTATCTGTGTGCCTTGAGGTCCGTGTGTGCCACCTGCACCTTCAGGCGCTGACTGCCCCCTGCACCTGACCTGCACCACTGGCCTAGTGGGCCTGTGAGGACAGGACTGGGAGGGCCCTCCACCCTGAGGAGCACTGTGGCGTGCCAGATGACTCCTCACAACCTGGTTCTACTCAACCTCCTGAGCTCGCTACTACTCCCCCTCCTGTGTCCACCCCCTTCTTCCACGACCTTAAACATATGCTGAGTGCCTACTATGACGCCTTGCTAGCATTCTTCACATACAAAGATGGGTATGACGTCATTCCAGCCCTCAGCAAGACCATGTCTAGACCAAACTTCCCAAACTTCCCCCGAGCTTTCCTTCTCTGGTAGCCGAACTCTTTCCCTGTCTGTCCATCCAGATTCATCACCAGTCAGATTTCTGATCGTGGACAATCAGGCTTATCATGGACAAACCCAGGCTTATGCCTTGGTATACTGGCACCAGGCTCTTGATAGCTGAGATTATGAGGATGAGCTCAGGAAACCCCGTGGGTAGGATTAGAATTTAAACGGGATTGATTCCCTCAATCCTGAGAGGCACAGGCTAAATCCCAGAAGGAATAAAGGGAATCCTCTGTAAGTGAACATCTAGTTGTCTTTAACTCTCTGCTATTTTAAACAATACTCTAACCTAACATTTTGCACCTACTTTTTTGTGCATGGCCGTTATCACCACTGCATGAATCCATGTATACGTGACTGCTGATTCAAAGTTGTGTGCATTGTAAAACTCAGGATACATTTCCCCAAAATCAAATATGTTTTCGTATGGTTAAAACTGAACCTGGTTTTTTTTTTTTTTTTCTCACAGGCCAGATCTGTTGAAATCTGAAGGTATCCCTAATATGGAGGTGGCTCCTGCTGCATCCCCTTTATCAGGGAGCCCCAAAATGTCCACCTCAAGCAGCAAGAGCCGATATCGGAGCAAACCACGCCACCGCCGAGGGAATAGCAGAGGCAGCCATAGTGACTTTGCAGCGATCTTAAAAAACCAGCCAACTCCAGAAAATTCACCTCACCCCCCTTACCTACACCAGGCTCAATCCCAGTACCCTCCTCTGCATCACCATGATCCTCTGCAGCAGCAATACCAGCAACCCCCTCCTGCCATGTCTCAGAGTCACCACCCCAGGCTCAATATGCACGGGCAGGACATTGCAACTTGCGCCAATAACCTGAGGTATTTTGGGCCAGCAGCAGCCCTGCGGAGCCCACTCAGCAACCATGCTCAAAGACAGGTGCCTGGCTCCAGCCCTGACCTCATCTCCACAGCCATGGCAGCAGATTGCCGGAGGAGTCCCGAGCCAGACAAGGGCCAAGCTGCCCGCTGGGGCTGTTGTCCGGCTGAGCCCTATGACTCCTACCTCCAATGCAGGCCAGAACAGTGTGGGTCCCTAGACGTGCCCTCAACTGAGCCAGCAGGGAGGAGCTCCAACCTTTTTAAGTCACCAGCACACAATCCTCTCTCGGAAAATGCGCAAAGTTCTGAGAAAATAGAAGAAAATGAATTCAATGGCTGTAGGTCCACATCATCCCTTGGCACCCCTCATCACATCACCCCACCACTGCTACCTCGAAAAACAAGGCCTCTTCAGAAGGTAAGCTGTAATAACAGCAGTGTGTCACTGCCTTCACAGTCTGTCGTGTTTTACACAGTGTAAAACATACCAAAAAAGTGAACACTGATGCCAGTTTAGCAAATACCATGTTAGTGCTAGATTATTGATTTAAAAACACACATGTGCAAAAAAAATTATACAATATAAAAAAAAATTACTCTTTTATAGGGGCTAGGAAAAGAATTTTCAGCAAAGTCTAAGAATGTAAGCATTCCTTTCTTTAGTTTTTTAATTCTTTACTGGGAAATTGCTCATAATGTCACTTCTGTTTTAAATAACAGAAATTGATAAATGAGCAAGGAAGCATAATTTGGATTATAAAATTCCTTAAGTAGTTAAAAAAAAAGTACACATTCCGTAAGAGCATGAAACCACAAAAGCATAAAAGTTTCTTTCACCATACTTTCCACGCTACTTTGGTGAGGAACTAGGAAAAAACTTTGGGAGCTACTGACCCGAAGGACTGATTCAAATGTGTATAATGTAAAAATAGATAAATAACCATATATTAGGGACACTTAATCAGAATAGTTTGTAAACCACTAATGTAGCCCGCTCCTGAGGGATGTTGCAAGAAGGAAGGATCCTGTTATAAAACAAATTTGGGAGACAGTATCCCCTGCCCCCTTGTGAAGATTCCTAGTGCGCATTAACTACCCCTGGGCTTGAGAAATGATGTGGTCACCCTGTCGAATCCAGCATTTCACTCACCTATTTGTCCTTTTTTTTTAAATATTTTATTTTATAAATTCTTACATCATTTTTCATCTTTGCACAATGTATGCAAAGATTATGGTTATATTCCCCATGCAATTGCACCCCCCTCCCTGCACCTTCCTCTCCCCCACCCCACCCCTCTGTAGTGTGTCTCTGGTTTATAGTTGCTTGTTGATTTTGATTTTTACTTTGCATTGATTAGTCTTTTCCCTGGTCTCTTATTTAAGTTTTCTAAATTCCTGCTATGAGTGAGACCATCCTTTCAGTTTAACATCTATGATCTCCCATAGAACTAGCTTTCTCAACAATACATTCTGGGAAACACTGACTAAATTAGTAACCATCATAATCCAGCCAGTTCTTAGACATTTAAACCTGTTCTCCTCCATGGCCCTGGCTGCCTGTGGTTTATTAGCCACGAGGCAGTCACCATGGCGGTTAAGAGCATAAGCTTGAGACTCAGACAGACCTGAGCTCAAAGCCAGGCTCTTTCACTTATTACCTCCATGAACCTTAGTGACCTCGCCTATAAAATGGGGCCAATAGTGGGTGGTGTCTCATTGTTTAATGTGAAGATTGTAGTGAGTTTTATAGTTTTTAGTGAGTTTTATATATAAAGCTTGTAAATAGGGTCTGGCACGAATCAACCTTCCAAAAACGTTAGCTTGTCCTGCTAATGAATGAAAAATAAAACTTTTTTCTTGTTCTCAGAGTGGAGATGATTCCTCTGAAGAGGAAGAAGGGGAAGTAGATAGTGAAGTTGAATTTCCACGAAGACAGAGGTAAAACAAACAAACACATATGATTGCCTTCATCATAATGGTGTGTGTGTTGAAAGGCACCTGAGTTTGCCAATTTTCTGCTTCCAAGGTTATTTTCTAACAGTCACGTCAGGGGAGTTTGAACTTGCTGTGTTCGTGATGTCCCTTTGCCACATTTTGGCAACTGGCTCAGCATAAAAGATCCTAGTTTAATAGAATTCCCTCCCTAGAAACTTCAAGATGAGGAGTGTAAAGATAGGTTCAAGATGACGATTGAGAATACAGTGGGATTTTATGAAGAATGGCTGTGCTATTTTATGGAAAATTTTACTGGCTTCCAGTGTTCCCCCCTATAGTAGTCACGCAGGTTGCCATAACAAAATACCATGGACTGCATGGCTGAAACGATGGACATTTATTTCTCACAGTTGTGGACACTGATAAGTCCAAGTCTCTTCTTGGCTTGCAGACTGCAGCCATCTTGCTGTGTCCTCACAAGGTGGGGAAGAGAAATCTTCCTCTTCTTAGGACCACAGTCCTATGGGATTAGAGCCCCTTCCTATGACTTCTTTTAACCCTATTTATTTCCTAAAGACCTTAAGTCCTGAATCTCCAGATTTAGTCACTTTGTGGGTAGCGTTTCAACATGTGATTTTTGGAGGGCACAATTCAGTCCATAGCATAAACAGATGAGTCCTTCTTCAGCCCAACCTTAGAAATACCTTCCTGCTCAACCAGCAATAATAATCTGCTGGTAGGTTAAAGATGGACTGCATCCCCCTGCTTCTGGAATAAGATCTGCCCCTCTGTAGAAATGGAGACTAGTTTTCCTCCAAGAAAGAGTAAGCCCTCAGGATTCTGTGTACCTGCCAGAAACAGGAATTCCCTGCAAACCAAGGGCCCCTCCTAGTCCTGTGCTAAGTTTTGTTCTGCGTCTATACACTACACAAAATTGAAGTCTGTCCTCATCCCCTGAGCTATTCCCACGACGTTGCTACTGCTGTCTTATTGTTTCCTTGGACACTGTGTTTTCTCTGTGCAGTGAGATGTGTCCAAGTAAAATGGCTTTTCATTCTCTGAACTCCTTGTACTGGCGTCACAGTTACGTTCCTTCCAGCCGGTGTTCCTGTGACATTCCACGAACTCAGCCCACCCACTGGCTTCCCACCTTTCTTGCCATGATGCAAATGATCTTTATGTTCTCACCTCACACTTTTGTTTTTTACATATAACTTTCTTCTCCCTCTCTCCCTTCTGGATTACCAGCCTAGAGAAGTTGTGTGAGTCCTATTTTAGCTTCCCTTGCCCACGTGAGCCTCTCCTGTCTGCCCTCTTTTCATGCAGCCTTGATGTGCCACCCCTCTCCCCTCACATGCCAGGTCACCTGCCTGGCTCAGTCACGTGCCAGCCAAATGACTTTGTATCATAAATACAGAAAGCTCAGACAATGACCAAGGAAAAAGCAGTCTTCCTTTATATTGTTTTGTTTTTTAAACCAGTGTATGCTAACAATGTGCTTGTTTGCTAGACTACTTCTAAACAATGGGTAAGAAATGAGGACTTTTTTTATTAATTTAGTTTTTTACTTTCTAACATCTTTATTCATTTTTGTGCAATAGTTGATTTCTCCGCTCAGGTGTAGTCCCCATGATTCTCCCACCACCACGACACCCGTGCACCATCACCACCGTCCCTTGTGCTCTTCCCGCCCCTGTTTTGACCCCTCACCCCGCCCCCCCCCCTTTGCGGTATGCCTCAGATCTATAGTCAGCTTGCAAATTTGGTATTTTTCCTGATCCTTTGTTTGGTTTCGCTATATTCCCCTTATAAGTGAGACCTTAAGTCCTCCTGACTTAAAGGAAATGAAGAACTTTTGCATAGCCCCCCATCCCCTAGATGTTTTGCCTCATCAGAGTTAAACCCAAATGTTAACTGGCTGGGCAGTGACCACAGCTGTAGAGTGACCTTCTTTCCAAACTCAATTCTGTCACGGGTTGGCCCACAGGGATCGTGATGGTTCACAGCCTTCCAAGGCCACCACGCCCCAGGAAATGCAGCTGGGGTCGAGGGGGGCTGCTGAGTGGGATGCACTTCCTCTGACAGTGTAGCCTTGAACAAGTCACTTTCTTGCTCTGGCTCCCGTTTTCTCATGCAGGACATGAGTTTGACTAGAGAATCTCCATTTTCTTTCGCCTGTGGGATACAGGTGTTCTATGAATAAGAAAAAACATTTCAATTTGAGCATTTCCGCACCACACATAGGTGTACGCAGAGAGATTCCACCCGATGACTTTTGTCAAACCATCAGCTGTGGCGTGTAGCCTTTTAGCCACACAAACTAATGAAAGGAAAGCCAAATGAGAAGGAAACACAAATTTCCCTGTCTGTTGCTTCACAACTATAGTTTCTATTGATCTGTATTTAAATACCCCTCAGGGGCAGGATGAAACTTCTCTCCCAGGTCACACTGACCCAATCAGGAAAGTAGTCTTTGTTCCTGGTTCTTTCCGATCCAGGCCCCACCGCTGTATCAGCAGCTGCCAGTCATACTCAACCTTCAGCTCCGAGAACTTCTCCGTGTCTGATGGAGAGGAGGGAAATACCAGCGACCACTCCAACAGTCCCGATGAGCTGCCTCACAAACTTGAAGACCGCCTGGCAGAGAAGCTGGATGACCTGCTGTCCCAGACGCCAGAGATCCCCATCGAGATATCCTCGCATTCAGACGGGCTCTCCGACAAGGAGTGCGCTGTGCGCCGCGTGAAGACGCAGATGTCGCTGGGCAAGCTGTGCGTGGAGGAACGTGGCTATGAGGTGAGGCCTCTCCTGCCCCCTGCTCGCATCCCTGTCATCCTGGAGCTCTTTTGGGTTGAACATGTGCACATCCTTTACGGCTATGACCTGGCATCCAAGATGCAGCTGCCTCCGTGACTCAGCAATACCGAGATCAGCGAAGCTGCAGCATCAGGGTAGTTTCTCCTGGAGGCCGCACAAACGCCTTGCTGCTCAGGAGCCCTTCCACCCAAGGTTGAGCTCAAACGTCACCTCCTCTGGGACCCGTCTCCCCACCTGGTTAATGGGATGGGCCTCCCTGCTCTGTGTTCCCAGTGCCCAACCTCCTTCCCTCTCGCCCCCAGGGTGCTGCCACTGCGCTAGCACCTTAGCCCATGTAGGCGCTGCCTACCACACCAGAGTACAGAGGCTGAGCATGTACAGCCTGCAGTCCGCCAGCCCACATATAAATCCCAGCCTTTCTATTTTCTTACTGTGGATGCTGGGCAAGCCTCATAACCTCTCTGTAGGTCCATTTCCTTCTCTGTCAACTGGGCATGGTAATAGCATCTGTCCCTCGTTGTGAGGCTGAGATGGATGAGTAGATGCAAAGCCCTCACAGCAGAGCCTGGAATGTGGCCAATGCTAAGTGGGGATGTGCAGGTCCTGCCTCATCATCACCATCACCCCCTTTCTAGCAAACCAGTAAAGTGGCTGTTGCTCGGGAAGTGCTCAACATATGTTCACTGAGTGCAGGAATAAATGAGTTTTCTTTTGTCTGGACTTTGCAGAATCCTATGCAGTTTGAAGAATCGGACTGTGACTCTTCAGAAGGGGAGTGTTCTGATGCCACCGTTAGGACCAATAAGCACTACAGCTCTGCTACTTGGTAATGCGAGAATACCCACCCCGAAGAGCTCGTGGCTATCCTGGCATTTCAAGTCCATCCCACCCCTGACTCTTCCCACTCTCTCCCTGCTTTTTTGTCTGGGAAAGAGAGCTGCCCTATCTTTCTTACCCCTAGAAATGAGCTGCAATAACAGGAAATTGAGACTTTGCAAATCTCTGGAAAAAATATCCAAATGAAATTAAGTCTCACTGAACATTTCAATCAAGAATGGCAGGGATCTATTTTATTGAATATTCTAGCTACTGTAACATTGATATTTATTTTTGTTTGACATTTTAACACTTTGTACTGTAAAGAGTGAACTATATGATATATAGAAAGACAATAATTTCTTGCTTAAAAAAAAGAGAGAGTGAGAGAGAGAGAAAGGAAGAAAGAAAGAAGTGGAATCTAGGAGCAACATCCTTGGGAATTTGTGGGGCCAGGAGGTTTTATTGCTACTTGAACAGGGGACCAATTCTTTTGGACATAAGTGACTGAAGAAGAGCCAGAGCAAGACATATTGAGCATTTTAGAAAATGCTTTTCCTTTCAGCAACAGGAAATCAATTTTAGATAACTGGTGACAGATTACATTAGCTTGTCCAGATGGGTAATGGGAATGACCTAGAAAAGTTTGGTGACCAGATACTTGTGTCCAAGGTCTTTGAGCGCATGTGCTTCCTCTAGGAGGAAAAGGAAAACTGTATGTGGAAGCTGATTTCATTTTTAAAATTTTAAGCAGTATTTGGTAGTGAGACTTACAGTGTCAAACCTTATCCTTGACAAATACTTCCCTTTTTAATGCTGTCATTGTCATTTCCTTGACCAATGTGTTGACTTGTCAGACTCAAGTGCCATTTTCTTCTAGCTTTTTCCTTTCACCTGTTGACCACTTCCTTCAGGAGAAAAGGAGGGTCAACTGAGGCAGAGAGCAGGGCAAAAGAAAAAAAGAAAATCTACAACAGTGTTGGAAAAGCAAACATGGAATCTGTAAGAGTGCATTCTCAGAATGTCTCAGTTCAGCCGCGGGGAGAAGATGCGACCCTCCCTCTGTGGAACCAGGCTGCTTGTCTCCTAGAGTCAGACTGATGCTAACTGGACAGACTTTGAAGACAGTTAGATATGTGTGAGTCTGTCCCATGTCCGGTCCCAAACTGTCCCCTTGGTTTGTATTCGCTAACTCCTATCTTGGAAGTTTTAGTGACTGATTACAACTATCATAGTAAAGGCAAACTAGGCAACTTGCAAAAGGCAACCTCTCTCCCACCCCAGTAGCATTTTTGTTAAATGCTACTTGTAAAAAATGTCTTTTACCTCCCTTTGGATCAATGCAGTTTTGAATCATTGGATTTAAAAATTTGTAGAAAGAGCAACTTCTGCTGAGCAGCAATTGAAAAGATTTTACATTGTCCAAAGCATGAGGTCCCTCATGTCTCCAGGGTCATGAGCTCTGCAAATCATCCCAAGGTACTTCACAGTGCCTTGGCTTGAAGGAAGTATTTTTAGCTAGAATTTTATATAAAAATAGATGTTGGCCTAGTTGCGGTCTGTCTTCAAGGTAGGTTACTGTCAAACAACCTCTCGAGGCTCAAGACTTCAGAAGATGGCTGTTCTCCTTGACAGTGCCTCACCTGGACATTAGGAAAGACTGACACATACATGGATTACACCATCTCCCGTGCGGACGAAAACGTGGCCCACTGCTGGGGTTCGCTGATGGCGTCAGCCAAAAAAGGAAAAGCAGGAGGGAATGTAGCGTGGTTCCTTTGCTTGTTTGATCCCTCCATTTGTTTACATTTTATGTTGAGACAGTGATTTAAATTTTCGTGTTATAGCTCTTAGGTAGGATGAAGGAAAATGTTTAACTTATACAGAGAGCAGTATTGTTTGCATTAAATTATTCCCTTTTGTACAAATTCTGTAGCTGGACTACATGAAAGATCTTAAGTTATGGCATTCTTATCATTGTTATTTTATTTTATAATAATTATCATTATTCTCATTTTCTGTCGATCAGAAGGTGTGGTTTATGGTGCAGCACAATGATTGTGTTTATTGCTAACCATGAATTATTATGGATTTTTATGATTTTTGTGAAGGAATGAAAATGGACTGCGCTTTGGGAGCTCCTGGTATCCGTGTTAGTTGTATTCCCTCATTTTCTGTGTACAACAACAATCACCGGAGGTGTCTTCTGCCCTGGAGCCCAATGGGTACGCTATGATTTTGACTTGATCATGAAATCTCCTGGGTGGACAGATGACTGAGTGGCTGAATGGACAAGAGTTTCAAAAGCTGTAAACTTCCTCAAGTTTCTCAAGAAATAAAATCATGAACTACATTAGAAACAAAAGGAGCATGATTTAATGCCCTGAGAGTAACAGACCTAGAGCGTTTCTGCCTGGGGCCCTTGGTTAGATAGTGTGAAGAACTGAAGGCATAGACTGTAATCTCCTTCCTGCCAGATGCCACAGAATCAGCCACTTTTCTCCTAATTTGGGTGGCAGGGAAACTGAAACAAAGGAAAACACACACACACACATTTATGGTAGGACAAAAAGTGCCTGGCTGGGATGATCCTGTGACAAAATGAGAGAAATTCTGGGATGAGACTTAGAGGGTCTTAATAGGACTGGTAAAGTCTCTTGAAAGGCCATGTTTTCCATCCTTGACTTCAGACCACCCTGTGCTGTGAATGTCTCTGTTTCACTGTGGCTAGGAAGAAAGAGGCTAATTTCTATATCCTCTTTCCCTCCAACTTTTCTAAAACACTGACACTTCAGCTTGCCCAGTTCTTGGCCACCTGTAGTGCCATAAGAGAAACACCAGTATCGAAGTCTGTCTTACACCTTTCGGTCTTCCTAGAAAACCCACACCTGATACCTGATAATCTTGGAAAGTTTTGAATTCCTGTCTTGACTATCATAAAAATGTGACATACCTTATGTGAATTAACTATTATGAGCATGTTAGGGGAGGCAACACTATTGAATCTTCTTGACTCCGTGTCTTCAAGAGTTGAATAAAGTTCCATATTGCACATTTTTATTTTTTAGAATAAGTGACTAGAGGCTACAGAGAATAATAGTGTCCTTAGTGTAGGTTAAAAAGAGAAATCCCTTCTCTACCCCCGCCTTGCCTTTCACTGCCTGCCTTGAGATAACCAGGATGATTTTGAGTTGGTATATTGGTTTCTTGAGAACAACTCCAGTCGCTTAAAGAGTATTGAATCAGGAGCTCAGGGAATTCAAAAGCTAAGTCTTCAGTTTTGACAGCTGTGCAACAATGCTTTAAAAAAAACCTCACAGGACTGTGATTTCAAGCTTCATTGTTGATGGAAAGTTCCACTGCCTTGGGATGAATGTCCACATTCATTTAGCATCTGCTTTTGATTGACTGCAAGATAATGAGTTTTAATGTGTGTTGCAGATGAGCATTTGGTTCCGATTTCCATCTATTTCTAGATTGTGTCCTCTGAATAACAATTCCTCCTAAAATTGCTTAGCAGAAGAAATGAGAAGCCTGCATACACTTTGAAATTAGACCAGGCCCTCCCATCAGTAAAGTTTAGACATGTTTGCAAAATTTGGGGGCGCTCTGCTCAGAGAGGTGGAGACGCTAGCTAGACCATCTGGTCTAGCCTGCTTGAAGTTCAGCTATTTTAAAACTTTAGGATGAATAAATCTATCCTTGTAGAATTAAGGACATTTTAATAGGATTTAATAATACTGGACATTCATTTCAGAGCCTCAAATTGCTAAATTTCCCTCTTACATGATGTAATAGATTTACTGGCAACCTTTTGGCGTAAATGCATCCTCACCAATCAAATGATTTAGTGGTTTTTTCCATGTCCCATGTTTCAGCTTTTCCTGCTTTTCTTAAAATATGCTTCTTGAGCTTCCTGAAATTGATCTCCAAAGTGAAATATAACATTCCAAGGAATTCCCACCCTGCTCTGCAGCATATAGTGTGCGGTGTTTCGTTTTTCCATCTACCATCTCCACCATAAACACCCAAGACTAACGTTATTTATTGATCACCATAGCCTTTCCAACTAAGCCTGGACATTCCAGAACTTCTTACCACTCGGCACCTGGGGCAACAATTACCACTTGATTGGAATTGCTGTGCCAGGGAGGTTTGCCATCCAACGTCTAAGTGCATAATTAATTTTCCAAAGGTGGTTTGAGATCTTGTGTGATACCTCACAGGAGAACGACAGGAGTACATTGGTGTTCTCCTAATGGATCCCACCCAATAGCTGTCAGGTGGTGACATAAGTACCTCCACCCACTGCCCTTTTGGACCGCACTTCCGATTGAGTAATCTCCCATCACTGATGGATTGAATTCCAACATGTCCCTTCATTTGCCTCATTTCATTGTATTAAATGAGCATGTTCATTCCTCATCTGCTATAAACAGAAAGTTAATATGTTAAGTCCCAGTTAGTTGCTTCTTCCTTAGTCTCTGTACCAAAACAATGTGATATTCTTTTTAAGACTTGGACTTGTATCGTCACAATGAATTTAGTGCCTTTCCAGGCAGCAAGATTTTTCTTTGCTGATTTCATAGAATCAATGTCCTAGTATGATCACACCACCAGTGACCCACTTCACCTTAGAATCGCATTAGTCTTTCTGTCTGCATGTTACAGCCTATATTGCAACTCATATTCAAACTGAATGAGCTAGACTGCTGAGTGGAGGGCCCCGTGGGACCTGGAACACTTCTCAGGGACAGGTGGCAGAAGAGGGGAGCTCTGAAACCACTGTTCTGAGAAACAGGGTCGGTTTAAGGCTTCCATCATGTGACCATGGCATGATGGCAGGATTTCAGAACCAAGCCCCCAAGCAGATGGCTAGGCCACCATAAGGAAACTTCCAGTAGAATCCCAGGCCTACTCTCTTCACAGCACTCAGGGGAATGCCGGCTCCTGGTGGCAGACTGCTGTCCAGACACCAGGCAGACTGGTGGCTGCAGGCCAGAGGGGACCTCAGCCAGAATGTCAGGGCATGGAAAGATGCCCCAGGAGGCTTTCTGCCTCCTGAGAGGCTGCTCGGATTCCGCAGGTACAAAGATTCACTCTGGGAGCCTCCCTAGTGGTGCAGGGGGTTGAGCGCAGCACTGTGAGGCTGTCTGCAGCCTTTGAGATGCGGGTTCGATCCCTGGCCAGCCAGGGAACACCCCACATGGTGCAGCAGACCTCTCCTGTCCTGCCCACTGCTCCCCTCAGCAGTGTATTTTGGACATCTGCCTGTTCTGCTCCCTGATCTCTCTGGTGAATCTTCTCACCCCTCCGCCCCACGCCTCTGGCTTGTACCCCACTTCTTAAAAAAAAAAATCCACTCTGATTCTATTTGCAATGATTTGAGTTCCTATCAATTTGGAGCAAATTAACTTTTTTTTTGAGTTAAATCTCAAAATGGGCCCCCTCATGTGTCTTCCCTATGGTCTCAGGACTGGTCTTCCCCTGCACCCTGTGTTGGTTTCTGACGGGACACCCTCTGTGTATTGTACAGCCATGGGAACAAGAGCAACTATCAAAGCAAATGCATGGAATTAAAAAGTGTACTTCACTGTTTCCTGGTCCTGTCTTTTCCTAAAGATACAGCTTGGATCCTGAAAGCTGCCTTTGCAAGTCTCAGCATTTGTCAAAACTTTAGGGAAAGAAGATTTTATACGACTGGTTGTCCACAGGCAGGAGAAACATGACGGGGAAGCTGGTTTCTGTGGCACTTTCATCAGACACATTCACAGAAGGAACAGACAACCATCCTTTTCCTTTGGTGTACTCTCTTCTTGATGCTTGAACAGCCTAGGCAGGCGCTCTGCTTTTTCCCTAGGACTTTCTGATGCCTGTTGTGTAGCATATTATTAGTGGGCCCATTAAAGTGAGCATGAAAAGGAAGAGGGGAAAATGAAAATCTCCTTCCCAAAGAATGATACCGGTCAGCCTACTGAGAGTGGAAAGCTAAAATACCATTTGGATTGTCTGATTTACAGCCGATCTCAACTCCCATTGGCAAGGGAGATTGAAACATGCACAAATAAGCACCACACAGAACATTTATATCCATTTATTTGGGAAACTGCTTTGCCTGTAAACTCACAACTGATAAGGCACATTGTTACAAAATCAAGGGGGAAGAGAAGGACAAATCTCAGTTTCCTCCTGATAAGGGCACAGGGCACACACTTGCAAGTGTGAGAAGCTCCTCTGGCCCCCTCCCTCCCCCGACTCCAGAACACACAGCCAGGGGTTGCAAAGTCCAGTTGGCCATCCCCTTACCCCCACTCATGTAATCAAGCTTCTCTTAAAGCAACACATCTTTACAAATGAAATTCTCGTTGTGTTTTTTGGATCATTTCCCTGCTTGCGAATTCATTCTTGCTACTGAACATAAGCATTCCCAAGAATTTCCAGAACAAGTCATCCAGATCAAAGCCTTGGCAAACTCCTTGGCCAAGTCAAATAAAAAAACCCAGTAAGTGATGCCCCAGGGCAACAGTGCTGGCAAGAAATGATGAGTTCCTCCTGCAGGGTACAGGATCCCAGACCTGGTCAGTTTAGGAGCCAAGGTCTTTCTGTCCTTAAAAACATTTCCCAGATCTGTGCCCACTCAATATCGCCACTGCAGGAAGTAATGATAGATATAGATAATTAAAACACAACATCATAAAGTGATCCAAAACCAGTTTTCCTCTTTGAACTAAAAGATAAATAGAATTATTGCTCAGTTATTCTCAACAAATGCCAAAATGAAAAATGTTCTGAGGGTACATTTGCTGATATCTGAGAGTACTGAATCCACTTTCCCAGCAGGGAGATGGAGAAGAGGTTCCCACAGGGAAAGGTCAGATTAGAAAATGTACTGATGGTCCTTTGGTTCAAGTGAGTCAGGGCCCTGTCCTATCCACATGGGTAAAAAACTTCCCCAGAACATACCCATTTGCTCCATTCATATTTAATAGTCTGTTTGCAATCAGCTTAATTGTCAGGAGACAAATATGCTAACATCAGTATCTCAACACAAAGTGCATCACAGAAATCATAGTGCATTTGAACTGAACATGAAGTTCTATGTAGCGTGTCAGCTTGTTTCCCTTGGTTTATGGAAGAGGTAGGTCATCAGCAAAAGAAGTACAGAAGAAATACTTTTCAAGAGACTAAAGAGAGAGAGCGATGCCAGTGATGTGGGCTCACATGCCATTTTTACTAGAAACATCCACTAGGGACTTACTAGAACACTTGTCACAATAGCCTATCACTTTGCAAAGGAGGTTCTCTGGACAAGGACAATCAGCATCCTTTCCCCAGCCACCTCCACGTTTGGCAACAGATGAATACAGTGGACTATCCTGAGTCTCTTGTCCCTCAATAAACTATGATCAGGATTTGCTAGGAGGCCCATTTTGTAGCATATCTTGCTAAACCAGGGCTAGTGTGGAACCTGATATAATTCACTATCCAGAGCACAGATTTGTCCTTTATGACAAAACAGTGTACACGATAAACAGTACCCAAATCACCTGCTGAGGGTAGTTAAACAACAAATGAGGGGCTTTAGAGGACCACACCCATTATACAAATAAGCAACAGGGTCCAGAAACACAGCAACCAACAAATTCACATCATGTGTCCTTTCTACCATTTAGATGACTGGTGTTACTTGTTTCATTCAAATGCAGGTCTTTCTGGCTAACCTTCATGAGGGCTGCAGGAACTAAGGCCATCATGGCAATGGCCAACAGCTTAAAGATCGTTTCCCAAGAGAAAAGAGCATCCAGAGAGGTCAGAGTTGACAGGATGGAGCCCGTCTGCACACAGATGAAATTATATGGGATCAAACCTGCAAGAGGAAAAGGGAAAAAGCCTGTTACTGGCGGACAAAAAAAAATGAAGAGTAACATTTCAGAAATGCCCCCAAGGAGTCACAACAGGGACGTCCAGTCTTTCTCTTCCAACTACTACCCCTACACAATTCCCTTTCCCTTCTTCTTTTCCCTCCCTCCCCTCCTTCCTTCAACTTCCCATATACATCTGCCTTGTGCAATAAAAGGATAAGATAGTTTATAAAAACAGATATATACTTCAATAAGACAAAAAAAATTAGGAAAAACCAAATGAGTGAAGAATAAAATAAACAGGGGCATATTATTAGTACAAAAAGCACATAAGATTCACCCATTTGACAGTGGAAGGGTCCAAATTTGCTTCTGAGTGCCCAACTGCAAGTACAGAGCAGCAGCCACACTGTGAAATTTATAGTATGAGAATGACAAAAAAATAAGTTTCTTAGAAGAAACTACTTTTCATATTGTAGAAGTACTACTTCTCATGTTCTACATGGTCTCTAAGAGATTAAATCTGCTAACCCCAAAGCCTATGTGGTAGACAGGCTGGTTATATCCAGCCCCCTAACTGGTGAAGTTCCTAAAACATTCTCAGCTTGACCCCAGAGATTCTGGTTACCTGGGTCTGGTAGAGCCAGCATTTTAAAAGCCTTTCCCCACCTACACGCGTAAGATATTGATTGGTCTGGTTCCCCCGATAATCCAATCCTCTTCTATAGTACGTATGCTCAAGATCACAGACCACTCAAGGTCACACAGCTGATCAGAAGGGACACCTCCAGAATCTTTCCAAGCCTCACACCACCTAGGTAAATACAAGCTGCTTACCGAGGTACTGAGGCTCTTTGCCTGAAAGCCGATATGACCAAAATTAGCTGTGGTAGATTTTGCTTCAATTTAAGATCTCAATTTCTCTCAAGAATTCCCTATTAATAGAAGCTGCTCAACCACAGATTTGTTATGTTTGACCTAAAAGCTCTGAGCAACTTTCCCTCTATGCCCTAAAGAAGGTTGAAGAGAGCCAATCCTTGTCTTAGCAAAGGCAAGAACATGGTTTATTTCCAGCATGGAGAAAATATTAGTCTTTGGTCTTATAAGATGTTAGCACCTTTACTATTCTGATAAAGGTGATCCAAGGCCCATGCTTTGAGAAAACATAGACCACTCAAGCCCCCAGCCCCTCATCTGGCCAAGCAGCCCACTGAGGGTATTGAGGAGCTGAAGGTCATTCAGTTGTCGAAAAGCAACTCAGTGACACCAGCTCTACCTAAGACAGATCTTATCAAAACAGAGGCCAAAACCAGATATGAAGTTCTTTGTTCTGCTGCTTTCTTCTGTCTATTCCTACCCGGCTTTTGCTGGCTTTCATTGAGAACTTACCATGGGCCAAGTCGAGGGCTTTATAGATTACTCTTCCAATCCCAGTGCCTAGTGCAGAATGGCATTGCATACAGTTATAGAATAAATAATCCTTATTTTTTTCCCACAAGTAGTTTTTTATGGGTTTTCATGTTCAAGCCTGAGCAGCTCTAAAATCAGGTAGAGTTCCTTTTGGTCACAGAGCTTGCAGATGTTCTTCAGGACACTGGGCCCTCAAGGTGGGCACATGCCCGTGTGGCTGGCTATAACCCTGGGAAACAACCCAATATGACAACTCTGAATGCTCAAGCTTATCCTACCAGCATCTTACCGATAAGAACAGAGAAGAAGAACTGCATCAGGGGGATGTTCAGAATAGGGGCTGAGAGGTTCAAGAACCAGTTTGGCGTCATGGGGAAAAGTCTCAAAAAGAGTAAGAAAAAAAACAAGCTGTTCCTGTTCTCCTCCACCTATAGCCAAAAAAGACAAGGGCATTAAGAAGCAGATTGAAAAAGAAAACTATACACTTTCTGTTTCTAGAATCCTTCAACAACCCTCTGGGATAGAAACTGGCATCTTCACTTTTAAAACAGAATTGCCCGAGGCTCAGAGAAATCAGAAATTTACCCAAAATCACAGAGGTGGTAATGATGGAGCTAGGATTTGACCCCAGGTCTGTGTCTTTTGAAGATATCAAAAGAAGCCCAAGATTCTCCCAAAGCAGGGCAGAGGAACACTAGGGGGAATCCCTACCATTTAGTTCCCCCAAGGCCACCAAGTGGCTCTCCAGGGGCCCAGCACTCAGCTGTGCCTCCCCTCCTTACCTTCTTCTGCAGCATGGTCACTTTATCAGGAAAGTACAAGACCACCAAATCCTTGCCAAAAATACTGGAGAGCAGGTAGCAGCACGTGGCGCCCACGGAGGTCAACACACAGCACAGCAGAAGGCCCAGCCACGGCCCAAACAAAGCACCAGCTAAAACATTCTGCAAAGAAAGCAAACTCTCAGCCATTAGAACGTTTCACAACTGCCAATCACCTTGTCCTGGAGCCCCAAAGTCATATGTTCCCTTCTCCTTCAGTGATTTTCCTGGCCTAAACCCAACTCACATTTCAAAGAGGTGAATGAAAAGTAATGGAAAAGCTGCGAACTCCAGCCCTGGCCTCAGTCTCTTCACCTTTAAAACAGAGATGAGGTTTTTTAAAACCTCACAGGCAGGAGAGGGTGAGATGTAAAAATACACGTCTACAGCACCCAGCCTTCCATGTGGACCATGGCAAGTCCCGCAAACCCTGATGCTCTAGTAAGGCCGAAATGCAACTTGCAAGTTATTTTCATTATTTTAAATGCACACAATCTGTGGGTTTTTCTACGACAAAACCATGTAAGTGATGTAAATGTCTTATTTTTTTGCTTTTTGCTGGGGTGACATCTATGTGGTATGCTAACACCCGGGATTCCATGTTGACGAGAGCTCTCGTTGACATGCAAAAAAGGTTTCAATGAGCAGAAATGGAAAGATGAACCATTCCTTGCTAAATGCAATTCAGTTAGTAGACATCATCCTGCTAAACTTGGAATTCAAAATAGAAAGTAAAAAGGGATCCTGGAAGTGAGAAGAAGGGGGTCTGCAGAGCACCTACTACTGCAAGTGCGTGACTATGTCTTGCTCAATCCTCACTGCCCACTGCACCATAATACCCCTTATCCTCTTCTGCTGGTGAGAGATTAAGTATTGGGCCCCAGATCACATTAGGTACCCCATGGAGCAGCTGGTTCTTTGCCCTGCTAAAGGATCAGGTCAACAGGGAAGGCAGGCAACCCCTCGGGGCAAGCCCAGCATATCCTATCCCTGTCTCCACACCTGCCCTGTCTCTCTTGCCATGGACATGTTTGCTTTTCTTCCAGTTTCCAACTGCTTAACTGGATCCAACCTGAGCCTGAAGTAGAGAAAAGATGCTGGGACAGGAGAGCCAAAGAGGACAGGGTGTCCTGCTTAGTCACTCAACCATTTGACAACTGCTGAGAGCCACTGTGTGCCAGGGACCATCACCAAGATGGTCACTCTAAACCTACTCTTTCATTTGATTCTCCCACACAACAATCGTGGGTAGGAGTGTCTCCGTTTAATAGATAAGGAAACAGCACTGGAGAAGGTAAAAGGCTTGCCCACAGTTACACAGCTATGACTCAAACCCACTCCAAGCCCAAACATAGGCATACAATTATTTGAGCCAACTTAAAATGCTGCTGGGAGGATCACACAGATTCTCTGCAAAACCTGAGATGGTAACTAATGAGGAGCATCCAAAAGACAGAGCACAAGCCCAGGTCTAACACTGCAGTTCCTGAAAGCAGGGCACTGCTAGCAAATCAGGACTTGTCCTTTCAACACCAGGGAGACTTCCCAATCCTCTACAGCCTAGTATCACCATAAACAACTTGCATTTATTCATCAAACACTTAGAAGGCACTTTCTGTGCCAGCCAAAGGAATACAAAGGTTGATAATAAGGAATAGGCTCTGCCCTCAAGGAATTCACAGACAAGTAGAGACAACAGATTTAAACAACAAAAAAAATAAATAAATAAAAAATATGGCTAACATGCAGAATATTACAGGAGGTAGCACAGTCCAGAGTGTGTATGCATGCCTGTGTGTCTGTCTCAGGGACAGCTTTCCTTAAGCATCAATGCCTTAGAAACAAAGCAGCAACATACCTAAGAGGAAAAGCAAGGGAAGAGATGGGGTTGAGACCCCAGTCTTGCCCCCTCCTCACCAGTCACCTTAAACTGTTACTTCAAACCATTTGTTTCCTTATCTGGAAAATGTAGATAATAATGCCCACTATGGGCTTTTGAGAGAACTAAGTGAGATCTTGCAGGGAAAGCAACTAGGTCAGCGCATGACACAGGAAGCTGTCAGTAGTAGTCAGTGTAGTCTGTCTCAAGGCCATATGACTTGCTGCCAAGGGCCCCTCGAAACACAAGGTGGGCTCCTGGTAAACACAGAAGGGTAGGGCACTGACCAGGAAGCTGGACCCCGGGATAGCAAAGCCCTGTTTGTAGAGGTAGGCACTGCAGAAGAGCAGGAATACGTAGCTCTGGTGCTCCTTCCGATATTCTCGAAGGACTTCGGAAAGCTCCCGAAGCTCTGCCAGATCTGAGGGGAACCGCAGGGACCTGGGGATTTGGAAAAGCAGATGGAAACATGAGTCCAGATTAGCCAAGCACTTAAGAAAATCATTTGTGTCTTCTTTCCAAAGTAGGTTTATATCAAACAAAACTTGCAAGATGAACATAGACAGATCTGAGGCATACGTCAGGGGAGAGGAAAGTAGAAGGTCAAAACGGGGGAGGAGGGCCTCCCTGGTGGCGCGAGGGGTTGAGACCAGCCTGTGGGGCAATCTGCGGCCACTGCAGCACGAGTTCGATCCCTGGCCAGCCAGGGAGCTACCCACATGGCGCAGCAGACCTCTCCTGACTCGCCCACAGCCCCCCTCAGCAACGTATTTCAGTCAGTCTGCCTGTTCTGTTCCCCACTCTGTCTCTGGTGAATCCTCCCCGCCCCACACACACCTCTGGCCTGTACCCCAGTTCTTGTATGCATAAATGAATAAATCTTAAAAAAAAACAAAACAGGGGAGAGAAGAGAACAAGGGAATGTGGAGATGGATCACAAGCGTTATGGTGGTGGGAGAACTACGGGGTCTACGCCTGAGGGGAGAAATCGAATATTGTACAAAAATGAACAACAATGCAAGAAAATTAATTATTTTTAAAAAGCGCCCATTATCTGGCCTGCTAGAAACACACATAATGAAAGCATGGGATACAGGTGACTTGAAACAGCACAGCAGAGGCAGACAGAAGAGCGCTGGGTTGGAAGCAAGAGACTTGGGTTAGTTAACATCTTAACTCCCCTACTAGCTAGTTTATGGTCCTGTGCTAGTCTCTTATCTTACAAATGAGGGGTTGGTGCTTATAATCACTAAGTTCCCTTTTAGCATTGAGGTTTTATGATCTACTCTTATGAGCAAATGTATTAATTTCCATGTTGCCTTCCATTCAAAAAACACCCCCTCCCCCACAAGCTTTAGGTCAAGGACAATTAACAACATCACATTGTTCCTGAATTAGCAGGCTAAAAGACTGTTTATCAATCAGTAACAAGCCAATTAAAGAGTCTCCGAGAAAGTTTATCTGTCCCACACCATAAATATAACCTTCTTGATAATGTATCAGTCTTGAAACCAGCCCTTTCAATGGGCCTGCTTTTTCGTTAAGCTCTTAACCTGGCTTCTAGTGTACTCTGAATCCGGTACAAGGGTTACAGAGTAAAGGCTACCTTGCTTCTGCCACCTGACCAGAATCCGTCAAAGATCAGCTTTGAACAAACCCTCCTAATTCTCCTAAGAATGTTTCTTTTCTTATGTCTAACACCGACAGCAAAGCCTTCTCAGACCAAAAGAACATAGTAACTAAAAACAGTTGTCCTGATCTTTAACCATCAGTAACATCCTTGACAATACAATACTCTGCCAGGCCCACTTTTGTAACTTTATACAAAGGATGCAGCACTCGCAACAAACCAGTCGGGTAAGTACCAGCAGGTACCGTTCTGACTCAGTGGGTCAGAGCAGAAAAACAGGCAGCCAAGAAGAGAGATGGACGCAATTAGGATCCGTGAATAATTTAAAGTCAGAGCAAAACATCTCCTGAAGACCTAATGTTTTAAGGTCCCAAGGGTAGACCTGACGGAAATGGGCTGGATGGGAGCCCCGAGGGCAGTCGTGGTGGATTTGTACTGCGGCAAATGGGGGTCAAGGGTGTGCCTGAGAAGACTCCGCTGGGTAAGACGCCGCAAAACACCAGCCCGAGGGGCCTCCCCAGTGGAGCAGCGAGTTGAGCGCCACGCTGTGAAGCTGTCCGCAGCCTCTGCATCGCGGGTTCGATTCCCGGCCGGCCAGGGAGAACCCACATGGCGCGGCAGACCTCTCCTGCCTCGCCCGCTGCTCCGTCTGTCTGTTCTGCTCCCTGCTCTGACTCTGGTGAACTTTCTCACCCTCCAGATCCTCTGGTCTGTACCCCAGCTCTTGTATAAATAAATAAATCTTTAAAAAAAACCAACAACAACAAAAAAACCCACCACCCCGAGCCGCGCGCCCCGACAGCGCAGGGCCGGGAACTGGCTACTCCATTGGCCGCCCGGGTACCGTACCCCGATCTCCAGCCCTAGAACTGAACCCCAAATCCCGATCCCCGACGCCTTCGAATCCGGAAAGCGAATCTCAGAGTCTCCGCCCCCATCCCTTGACCTGCTCCCCTTCCTCTGACCCGACCCCGCCAAACACCTGTCTCCAGTCTCTCCATCCGAGGCCAGGGTCGGCACGCGGGGAAGCTGGGTTGAGAGCAGGTACAGGGCGAAGGTGCAGCCAGCGAAGATCAGGAGGAGGCCGAACAGGGAGCGCATGTCGGCGCGGAACCCGGGCCCGCCGGGCCGCGGAGGAGCCGGGACTCTGCGCGAGGAACTCGCGGCGCGGGCTCCGCCAGGGGAGCGAGTTTGCCGACGGACATGGGCGGGGCCACCGCAGAGCCCGCCCCCAGGCCCAGGCCCAGGCCCCGCCCCCGGCCCGGGTTCCTGCTGCGGTTTCTTGGGCAGAGCTACGCTAGGGGAAACCTGTCATCCAGCGGGTGTCCCCGTGTGTTATCTTTTCCTCCCCGTGTGTTAACTTTTCCTCCTCGTTCTGCATTTGTTTGCAGAGGCTCTGTCAGACACCGGGAGAAGCAGGGATGAAACATGAACCCTGCCTACGGCGAGCTTGCAGTCTAGTGGTCAAGACAGTTCTGTCCACCACCAATTGCAACACAAAGCAAATGCAGCAGGTGTAGAACCAGGGGTAGTGACCACGGAAATAATCAGAATTACCTTTTTTTTTTAAGGTTGGTTTTTTTTTTTTTGTTTTGTTTTGTTTTTAAGATTTGTTATAGAAGCCAAAGGCGCAGGAGGGTGAGAGGCTTCACCAGACACAGAGCAGGGAGCAGAACAGGCAGAAGGACCAAAATACATTGCTGAGGGGAGCAGCGGGCGAGGCAGGAGAGGTCTGCCGTGACATGTGGGAATCTCCCTGTTCTGCCGGGAATCCAACTGGCGCTGCAGAGGCTGCGGACAGCTTCACAGCGCCGCGCTCAACCTGCTGCGCCACCAGGGGAGGCCCAGAATTACCCTTTATTGAGTGCTTTCTAAATGTCCAATATGCCTGATCGTCACAACAATTCTGCAGGGTTGGCATTTTTGTCTTTATTTAGCAGATGAAAAATCTAAGCCTCAGAAAGACTAATTGACATTCCCTCCCCCGGCCCCAAAGAGAGCCAAGATTAAAATCCAAGTCAATCTAGATCCAAAATGAGTGGTCCTTATGGTGTATGAAGTCATGGAGGCGGTAGGATTGGGGTAAATCTTAGAGGATCAGCAGGATTTCTACAACAGAGGAAGGAGGGAAAGAGTTGGGGAAAAAATAATGTCTTATAGTTCAGTTTCAGTGAAGCCTAAAGTATGAGTGAGAAGTTGGGGACAAACTGGAAGGCATGTAAGCTAAGAAGCTGAACTTTTTTTTTTTTCTTAGTATTGTACTAGGTGAGACACCAACAGAGGTGTTTAACCAAGAAAGCTATTTAACTCCATTTTAGGGCATTAGCTCTGGAGGGTGGATGATTAGAACACAAGTTGAGAGTTCCACCTGTCTTGGAGAGAAAGGATGAAGGTCTGAGTCAGGACTACAGCAATGAGAATGGAGAAAAATGGACAAACTGAAAGGAGTTGAGTTGGTAGGATGTATGATGAGTGTAATGAATAAGGGACAGATATGACCCAAAATGTCACAAACCTGGATAACAGAGAGAAAGTGTCCTTGTCATGTCATTCAAATCACCTCTTGGGTCAAATAGGGAGCACCTGTCAGAATCAGAAGTATGCAAAGTCTAGAATCCCATGTCCTGGAATTTAGCTTATAGGTACACTCATAGGTAGACAAAGATGTTCAAAGGTATTCTTTTTGCACTGTTTTTATATTAAGAGATTGGAAAGAACCTAAATGCCTATCACTCATGGATTAGAAGGTAAATTATGGTGAATTCACAACTAAAACACTGAATACCCTCCTAAAAGATGGAGGCAACACTACATATCCTGAAACAAGTTGTTTCAGGAACAACTACATATCAAACAAGTTGCAGTGTTAGCGTGGAGTTGTGAAAAAGGAAAAAAATACATGTTTTCAAAAATACTGAAGTTCTTCTGAATGAAATGATTCAATGTCTGGACTTTGCCATCAAAATAACTGGATAGGAGTTTAGTAGATAGGGATATAAATAAAAAAGACTGGTCATTAAACTGATACATTTTAAAGCTGGATGGTGGCTGCATGAAGGAGAATTTTATACCATTTCTCATTTCTGTACCTATTTGAAATTTTCCATTTTAAAAAATGAAGAGAAATGGTCTCGGTCTTTCATTCTAATTTTCTCCCCTCAGATCTTCCATCCCAGCTAAATATGAACCCATGCCTCTGACAACACTCTCCCTCTATTTAGCAATCTTCTCTGCCTGGAAAATTCCTAATCTTTCATCAACACCCAGAGCAATTTTCATCTCCCTTGAGAAGTCTTCTCCAGAAGAAAGGTTACTCCTTCTCTGTACTTGGGCCTTCCTGTAGAGTGCCTGTATAACTTGGTTCATCAATACTGTATTCCAATATCATCCATGTCTCCAGTAGATAGCAAAAATAAGACAAATGTCTCACCCCAATCCTTAGTCTTTGCTTGGTATAAAAGTGGCACTTAATGTTTGTTAAATTACTGGGTCAGTCTCATGAAGAAATGATTAGGCAATGTTGATTTTGAGATATCAAAGGAATATAGGAGAGGAAGTAAATGAGAAGTAAACGTTAGTGAGCATGTACCAGGAGTATGCTGGGACAAGAAATAGAGTAATTAACAAGAATACAAGGTTCCCACTCTCAAGGACTTTACTCTCCCTTTGGTGGGAGAGAGCATGGAGAAAAATACAAGTATAAAGTATGATGAATATCTAGAAGGAAACACGTGTTAAAATGATTTGCTTCAGAGAAGCAAGTATTATATCCCACTTATGGATGAGAAGGTTTTCAGATGAAGCCACTTTGTAAAATCCACAGTCATGAGTGCTGAAAAGGATTCATGCCCTTATCTGCTTCTCCTGAGCTCTTGCTCTTTCCTCTGTCTCACGCCACCTCTCCGTTGAGCAAGTGAAAAATCCAGAGCGCAAATTGGCCATTCAGATTTGGAGGTCAGCCATCAAGAGGAAAAGTTGAAATGAGGGGGCAGTGGAAGGTCTCTTGGAGGCCTTGAGAGGGAAAGTAACAGCATCTGATATTCATTGAGTACTTAATACACTCCAGACCTCATGAGATTTTACAAATATGAACGTACTCGTTCCATATAACAACTTCCGTGAAGCTGGGACTCTTCCACTGTACAGTCCAGGAAATGGAAATTTAGGAACACAGGTGATCAAACAGGTCACAAAGCAAACACCAGAACCTAATCTCTACACTACCTGTTTGGGAGAGAAGACTGAGATGAGAAATTGGCAAGGAAATAGTGGAAACCGTGAAAGAGAACAGGATGGCTCATTTAGGGGTGTTGGATGACAATCAGTGGGGATGAGGAGAGGAGTGGTCTGAAGGGTCAAGAAAGACTATTAGAAAAGGAACCAGTATGAATGACAGTCCACAGAAAAATCCAGCAGGGAGACCTAAGTGTTTGTGGATACAGTCAACAGGGGAGTATAAGAAACCGGAACTCTTTGGAGACTTGATTTCCTACAGATTCACTCCCCAAGCTCTGCTTTCCACCACCAACCCCCACCCCACCTCCAGTCCTGCCATTCTCTTATTCTGATTCCTCTGTTAAACCTATCTGCTTGAGGAAGCAGCCTTGGACTTCCCACTCTCAACCCACCTCCATGTTGATCTATGTCCCCAACCCCATGGTTGGGGATGGGCCCCCATCACAACACCTGCAAAGCCAACTCTAACCAGTCACTGCACCACCTACAGGCTACACCAGCCTCCAGTCCAGTCCCCATCATTTTCAGTCATGTGCAGGTAGCCTGACAAAGGATACCTGCAACCTCCAATGAGGACACCTGCTGGACTGGGACACAGGTAGTTGCTCTTGAATCAGGGAAGTGGGAGTAAAGGCCAGGCAAGAGTTTCAGTGGAGTGAATTAGCCAGTCATGCACCATGGCTGTCAATAGTTTACTCTTCCTTAAGGCTTCCATGGGTCTGCATGGAACAACTGAAAGGAATTGCTATGAAGATCACAAGATTTTGCTCCCCAGCGCCAGTAAAACATAACTGATTGTGTCAGGATAGACACCTTCTCAAAGAGCAGGATCCAAAGGCTGGTTCTTCTCAGAGTTGGGCTACCTAGTGAATGAGTGGCCAAGAGTCCAATGGTCTCAAGGACCACAAAGGTCCAGAGCTGTCCTGCAGAGGGAGCTGGGCTAAGTCAAAGAGGCTCATGAGAGGATAGTTGGTTATAAAGGCCCATGAGCTTTTGTTGCAGAAGACTCCAGGACAGCCCCCATCCTGAGGTCTGATGATTGTCCAACTCTTCTTAGGTTTCTGCAAGTCCTCTTTCTAATAAAAATTTGAGTGGAGTCTGTTGCTGCCATCCAAAGTCTTCTTGGCTAAGATAGGGTTTTGCAGGACTGGGAATAAGGGGCCAACGTCTAAGGATGGGAGGCTCTGAATTTGGGAAATAACAGAGTGTTGATGTCTAAATTCAGAATGGAGATGAGCCCTTGAGTTCCTAAAGATGAGTCTGCTCCATCTCACTCATTAGACATTTCTCAAGCATCTGCTTTGTGCCTGGCACTGTGCTAGGGCAGCAATGACACAAGAGCAGCAGCATGCTCGTGGCACTCTGGGCAGGGTACATATGCAGAAACACATACAATGTGCTATGATTTAAAAAAAGCAGTGCTGAAGCCTCCATGGAAATGGGTTGTGGCTGGGGTGAGGAAGTCTTTACCCACATCTGGGAATTAGCTCTTAGGGCTCAGAAGATGGTGGGCAGCGTTCATTTAATAAATATGTCCTGAGCAAAACTATACAGTAGAAGAGAGGTTACTTCAAAGAGGAGGAGGTTCCGGGGCCCATGACACTCAGGAATCCCAGGCACTTTCTGGCAGAGGCCACACCTGTGGCATGAGGGGTTCGGGGGCACTCACCTCTTTGGCTCTGTGCCCGCACTGGGCATCTGGCCCCAAGAATCATCCTTTTTGGTTCTGTCCTTTCTGGCCTTGACCCTCCAGGCCTCTCTAGATTTGGCTGGTTGTCACGCCAGATTACGGAGCACATCCACTTTGGGGGAAGCCCAAAATTTCCTCAGACTGGAAGCTTCAGGTGCTCTAAGAACAAAGTGGTTTATGCTTTGGATTCACGTGTTAGCAAAACAAGTTTATTTAGCATCATTTCAAAAGGTTAACAGCAATCCCTTTAATAGGCAAGATTAGGGAAAGTGTATTTTCATTTTGCATCTTTGCGTTTTCTGAATGCCCTTCAATAATCATGGATTACATTAGTAATAAGGAAAAATAAACATGTTTAATGTTTATTGCTTAAAATGACAGTTGCCTAAAAAGTGATCCTTCTTCACCTGAAGTGAAAAGCAAGCTCTGCTTTTCTTCCCTGCCTCTCACTCCCTCCCTGGTGACTGAACTGAAAGCTGCCTGGCTTCATCTACCATCCTCCTTCATCCACTTGCTTTCTAGTCCCAGCAGCTGCTCCAATCTCCCCCTGCACCAACGGTGTCCCTTTCTGCTTTCCTGAAGCAAACCACTCCAGAAAGAGGCTGATGTGATAAAGAGAAGTTGCCTGATTGCACATGAGATAAGACATATCAAAATAAATAAAAACATTTCACATTTATCAAACCACTCACAGAGGTGGCCATGGGATTCAAAGAATATTTCACACCTGCCTCCCAAGTCCACCCAACAGCCCTGAGATAGATCAGCCTCCAACTCCCACTGCGGAGACCCAGAGGATTTGGGGATTTTGGCACAGAGATGAAAAGGAAGTCCAAAGTGAGGTTTCCTACCAGTCTTTCCCTTAAAGATACTCGACCAGCCTCCACCGTTACAGGTCAGAACAAAAGAAGTCCCAGGATTCAGGCAGACAAACCTCAGGGCTATGGACAGCCTGGCTATTTCTGACTTGCTCTACTTAGGGGCTCCCTCCCCAGAACTGTTTTATAATCCAAGGTTGTTTGACATTTTCGCACTTGACATCCACAGGACATTACTGAGAAAAACCCGGGTTACTCCCTATGTTTTGTGCCTAGAGAACAAGGCAAGGTGAAGCTTTGAAAAAGTCTGTAGTTGTGCTTTCTTGATGTTACTGGTGCCCTCCTGTCCTGACAAGTTACAATTGCAACTTGGAGCAGTGAATAGGCTGGAAGAATGTCTCCACGTTTTCCATCAGTACGAGATCATACCGACACAACTGGGGTCTGTAAAATAAGGAGAAGTATCCTGGTCAACAGAGGAATAAAAATGCCACGTTCTAGTAAAGGAACTTGTACCATATTGTTAGGATACAAAATTAGTTAATGATTATTTCTGATGGGACAGGAAAATGTTGGGGTAAAAAAGCAAAGCAACATCCACAAAAAGAAAGGGGGAAGAAATCATCAAATCTCTGAATAATGACACCATGAATGATATTTTTCAGTTTCCTAGGATTTTCTGTACTTTCCAGATTCATAAAATGAACATGTATTCATTAATCATCGGGGAAAAGCATTAAAAAGTTCCAGAGTTTTAAAATGCAATGACTATCCTCTTAGGAGCCACATGTATTATTAAATGCTTCAGGTACCCTAAAACCTGAGAAAAAAAGGGCTGTATAATCATAAAACACTAATTTCCAAACTCTCTCCATCCACAGATTGAGGGCTAGGATTGTATGATGGAGTCACATTGTCACAAAACAACATATACCGTCATGCTCTGCACTTTAAAAAATCATTCACTCTCTCTCTCTCCACATTTACACATTGTTTTGTTTTTTCTTAATCAATTGAGAATAGGTTGTTTGGCCCTAAATACTTCAGCAAGCATTTTCTGAACAAGGACATTCTCTGTGCAGATATCAAAGCTAATGCTGGTATAGCTACTTTATATTATACCTTACAATGTAAGTACCAATTTACATTTACATAGTACTGTATCCATGAAATAAAAGATTATACTGTATCCATGAAATAAAAGATTCATTTTTCAGCACCTTTTTTTCATTTCTGACCCTTTTTACCAGTTTGCAAAATATATGAGACTTTCTTTTCTACAACAAATTTTCAAATTGCAAGCAATGTGTGCGGCTAAGGAGAAATTATATAATGCTAAACATACAACAGTATCATTTCCTTGAATTTCTGGCCCATTTATCTTTAGGGTCATACGAGGCTAATTTTTTTGGATTACTGGACTACTTGTTTTCATCAAATCTATTTTTGTAAAATCCCTCACTTCTTTCGTGATGAATGATGAAGTCCTATTAAAACATCAGACCAGGGCTGCCCTGGTGGTGCAGCAGGTTGGGCACAGCACTGTGAAGCTGTCCACAGCATCTACAGTGCGGGTTTGACTACCGGCTGGCCAGGGAGATTCCCACATGGCGTGGCAGACCTCTTCTATCGTGCCCTCTGCTCCCCTCAGCAGTGTATTTCGATCATCTGCCTGGTCTGCTCCCTGCTCTGTCTCTGGTGAATCCTCTCACCCTCCCATGCTTCTGGCTTGTACCCCAGTTCTTGTGTAAAAATAAATAAATCTTAAAAAAAAATCAGATCAAGCATACTGGACAGGATCGAATCTTGGAAAACAGAGCTTGTCAAGCCCTGCCTACAGCTCACCTGTCTGGATGGGCAAGTGATCTTAATTTCATGCGGAGAATCCTGAGCTTGTACTTTGGGCCTATTATATTGCCTGTAGAGAACACCAAGGAAATTGATGCCACTTTATCCAGATCTTTATTAAATCTTGCAAGCAAACTCACTTGCTGGTATTTCTGAAATGTTGAGGGCTCACTGGAAGAAAGGAATAATATTTTTTTAATATTTTATATAATTCTTACATCATTTTTCGTTTTTGCACAATGTATGCATTTTCATTTTGGTTATATTCCCCATACAATTGCACCCCCCCAAAAGGAATAATATTTTAAATGGATACAGATTATTAGCAAAATTTTTCCAGCCTACAAATCATTCATAAGCAGGTATTCATTTGACCCCATAGCTTGCACTAGCCAACTTTCTTGAGCAGAGTTGGCTGAATCCAAAGCACTGCACGAGTGAAGCTGTTGACCCCAGGGCTGCTGACATGGTAGGCCATTAGAGAGGGATGTGCTCTAACTGCCTACCACATGCCGGACATCTTTTCCCTTGGCATATCTCAACTCCCCTAACAAATTCTACAGGTGAGGGCCTCCCTGGTGGCACAAGGGGTTAAGTACCGCACTATGAAGCAATCCACAGCCTCTCAGCAAGAGTTCAATCCCCAGCCGGCCAGGGAGAAACCCACGTGGTGCAGCAGACCTCTCCTGTCTCCCCGCTGCTCCCCTCAGCAATGTATTTCTGTCAGTCTGTCTGCTCTGTTCCCCACTCTGTCTCTGGTGAGTCCTCTCACCACCCGCATCTCTGGCCTGTACCCCAGCTCTTGTATGCATGAATAACTAAATCTTAAAAAAATTCTACAGGTGAAGTTATTATCTTCATTTTACAGACGAGCAAACAGATGCTGGCAGGGTTTAAGCTCACCTGGGTCATAAGGCATGTCTGCCGCAGTTCAGGGATTTAAAGCCAGTTGTGGTTGAGTTCAAAGTTTGTCGTTTCATTAAACTACATTGCTAGACACTTGCGTATATTTTTAGCCAAACCAGATAGATACTAATGTAGAAGTTGTGCTTAAGCATAGCCTTTTTTCATTCCTGCCTGTTAAGATAAACCTTAAATTAGCTATATCCCAAATACCAATACTTTTATCCAGGTGTATGGAGATGTTTTCTACAGTTGGAACTTCAAGTTAAGCCTTCAGTTTGCTCACAGCAAGGGTCAAAATCTCCTTGAAGTTCTGGTAAGTAAGCAGAGGATCCCCCCCTGGCTTTAGAAACAGGAGGCTTTAGCTTACTCTTTAGCTTGGAAGTGGCATAGGGGCTGGGCGGAGAAGTGTCTGTCATCCCCAACCTCATCGAATCATGTGTAAGTTCCAAGGACAGCACAATTATGAAAGGTGTCAAGATTTTTAGTTTCTAAATACCATTTCCACTCAAAGGAACAAGGGTTCCCTGGAGAAATGGCTGACTCCAGGGCTAGGGAGGGAAAGTGCAAAGTGATTCTGGAACAACCTGCTTACTAAAAAGTAAGGAAGTGCAAAAAGAATAATAAAGATTGTTCAGAGACACAGAATTACCTCACACCCATTGTGAAGGCTGCTAAAAGAAGATTGAGTGAAACACTAAAATAAAGATGATAGGGTTTCTATCTTGACCAAGATCTAAATCTCCAAATTTAGGAACTCCTAGTTGGGAGAAATTCACTATGTAAAATTAAAACTTCTAAGACACGTGAAAAGCAAATATGTAACCAAGTGTTGGCATGAATACCCAAACTGTGGTAGGTGAGCACTTCCTATAACTGCACGACCTCCCCTGCTATTTCTTAGAGTGTCCAGATGAGGTCTCTGCTCAGCTTCCCCACGTAAGCACGGGCGAGAAGTTACCTGAGCCTGGGTCTCCAGATGCGCCCCCTGGCGGGGCGCCCCCTGATTCACACTGATGAAGAGTGTGATGTTAGACATGTCACTTGGCCTCTTTCTTTGAGCCTGAGATTCCTCGTAGATAAAATGTAAGTGGTAATATCACCTTATGTGGTCTTGGTGAGAATTTCACTAGCCAGTGTGTGCAATGTGCTTAATTTAATAAGCAAATGCACCCTCATCTATTCTATTTATCACCCATAAGGTGGTTGTCAGTTTCCGATGCTATTCTAGTTAGTTTTCTATGGGTGACAAGTCAGGAGACAACCCAAGTGTCAGGAAACATTTCCTGATTGAATGAATAAAATATGCCTCAAATTCCTTTGCTTAAACAAGAATTTGGGGGGAGGGTCCCACTTTATCCTAATTATAAAATTATATACAAATAGCGACTTAATAATTTTAAACTATATATGTATAAGTATGCACAACATCACAGAAAATTGAAGAGAGAAGCTGAAAGAACACACTTTTATTTCTACCACCCAAGAGGCAATCTAACATATTTTGGTAAATTTCTTTTTCATATTTTTACATTGTTGAGCTCATTTTATATTTTATGTAACTTGATGTGCTGCATTTACAAGCACATTATAAGCATTTTACACATAACCTCAGCATAGAAAAATACTCTACTATATGGTAATATTTAATTCACCATTTCCCCGTTGTTAGATTTGTAGGGAATTTATAATTTTCTATTGCAATTTACATTTTTCTGAACTTCAGAAACATATATATATATATATGTTTGTTTGTATGCATGTATGTATATTATAAGCTCATAAAAGAATAAAAACATGTGGGAGAGTGAGTGCATTAGCAGAAACAAGGACTTGCACTTTGTGTTACATACGCCTCTATTGTTTAAATCTTTTATAACAAGTGAGAAGGGCATTTGTAATAAAATGTTAAATCAAAAAAGGAAGAAAAAAGAAGAAGGGAGGGGGAAGGCAAGAGGGAGAAAAGGAGGAAGAAAAGAGACAAAAGGAAAGGGAGGGAGAAAGAAAGGAAACCGTTGCACCAATTCCATTTGTAAAGAGCCTGGAAGACCACAAAAAGCAACTAAGCAATACAGTATCTCCCCTTGTATCTTTTGTAGAATCAACAAATCAACAGACCTATAAATAAGAAAGTAGCTCTAGGGCCTACCTGGTGGCATAAGGGTTAAGTCTGAGAGCTGTTATATTATCACTGCCATGGCATGAATTTGACTCCTGGTCAGGGAGCCCACCCACATATGGCACCGCAGACCTCTCCTGTCTCGCCTACTGCTCCCCTTAGCAGTGTATAGTAAGTCTGTTGTTCTGCTCCCCACTCTGTCTCTAGTGAATCCTCTCGCCTCCCACACCTCTGACCTATACCCCAGTTCTTCTACACAAAAATAAATAATTTTTTTAAAGTAGCAATGTATGTGATTAATTTCTCTGAGCAAAAGAAGAAATGGAAAACTATCCCAGTCCAACTTACTGATTGATTTTGGATTCTGTGGTGTCTCCAGCTTTGTCTCTCAATTTGATTGTAATGGACCCTCTTCTTACGTTCTTGTTCCAAATTATAATGTCCACAAAGTAATGATATACTGCAAAACAGGGAGAAAACACAGGAAGAGAGAGATACTCCCAACTGCTCCTTGAAGGGTCAATTCTTAAAACCAAACCTCCCTAAAATGGTCATCATGGTTGCTTTGGAGTGGAATTGACACATAAATGTGGTTGACATCTAATTTTTCTAGACCCGATCTCGTATCTCTTGAGGATCAAGCAATTTTCTGGAACGTCCCAGTGAAGCTAATGATGACGATTTATTGATACTTTAATCTTCATAACCCAGAAGACAAGCATTATTATCCCCATTTTACCTAGCAGGACACTGAGTCTCAGAGAGGTTAAATGCCTTGGCCAATGTCACACAACTAGTATATGGTAGAATCAGCATTCAACTAGGTCTGTCCGGCACCAAATTCTAAACTTCATCTTGACTTTCATTTGCCAAGAAGTAGCCTGGTGCTGAGACTCAGTTATTCCAAAAAGAAAAGGATTGAGCAAAAGTAGACCACCACATTCACCACTCACTGCAGTAGGGTTCCTTCTCAGCTGTGTCAAAGAATGCTTTAGTCATAGGAGGATCTTTCTCTCTTAAATAGTCTTTCCAATTATCAGCATAATAGCCTATAAAAAAAGTTGGAAAAATGTAATGTTAACACATATTTCATTACTATATAAATGCAAAAGCAAATCGGAAGGATAGAAGCGGGAGTTTGACAGTTGCCACCACCAAGATAATCCCCCTTGCACTTCTCCCCATGATGAGGACCTACAGGGCCACAGGGCAGTTCTCCCCAGAACCCACCGGAGTTTTGCTCACTAAAAGCTGTTCCTAAAAGCTAGGGCTTGCAAAAGGACACAGTGGTGACTTTCCCCCTTCCTACTGATATTACATCACCTAGCCCTGCTTCTCGGCAGCAAGGGCTGGCAAGGGGCGAGAGGCACACACTAGGGTGATCCAAAAATAGCACTGACATTTCTCAGTAATAAGTTCATTTTTATAGATTAAAACAGATTCAGGCATATGCCTAAAATAGCACCGCTCTTGCAAAGCGATGTGCTTTCTGGAAAAACTGCAATTAGGCTTGCCATGTGACTATGTCACCAAGCAGGGAATGTCCTCCTTCATATCTGTGCCTGCAAGGAATGAGGTTGAGTGCCATCAGGGGGGCTCTTTCTCTCCTCTGTACCCACCCCTGGAGAAGGGCCTCCAGATTCTAACTTAATTGTTCTGGGGACCCAGGCATCAGTATTTCTGAAAGTTCCCCTCTGTGGTTCTCATGCACAATCAAGGTTGAGAACCCCTGTCTCTAGTATGTTCTAATGTGAATTTGGATTGGTTTTTTTTTGGGGGGGAAAAACTGGAAAATTCTCATTTGAACTTCCAGTTTTAAAGTTCCTCATCACCTGGAATATTTCTACTAAATCTTAGCAAATATCTAAGCAGCCCCATGGTAGCTATCACACCAGTACATGCTCACAACGCATGTAGTGAGTGCATTATTCGGAGGGATCATTGTTCAAACCTCATTTCACACAAAGGTCCCTCCTCGAGCAGAGGTTGTGTGCACCAGAAGGGGTGTCCTGTCTCTATGAAAGCAGGTTACCATAAGGTGACTATGCCCTGTGTTTTGGGTTTGGAGACTCTTCTGGAACCTTCTTTTTCATGTTAAACTAGAGTATCCAAGGAAATTGCCCTACCTTCTAGATAAATCTTATACAGATCACTTTTCTAACAATGTTTATTGGGAGACACCAGAGTAGTTCTCAGAAGAAACTGACTAGAAAAAGCTGACAGAATCAATTTTTAAATACACTCAATTTCCAGGTTAATTTTAAGATAGTAAAACAGTGTTGGGATACTACAAAAAAAATTAGGTTTTTGGGGGGAAACTCCTTGTTGGACTCACCCAGAAGGGGACAGGACTCCTTGTGCAGTGTGCCGCAGGTGACACATTGGCCATTCCTATAATTCCGGTAGGAGTCACAGGGATACGCAGTGATACTACAGTTCTCTCTCAGGGAAGAAAGGTACAGGTACACGGACCTCTGGTGGTCGCATTTAAAGTACGCTGCGATTCCTTGGTTGTCAAGGGGATGATTAAAGAGGAGAGCAGTTGTGGCATTTAATAATGGCACCTCACATATTATGTGCACACGCACATGCACACACACACAAATTTATCATGTCTCCTATATGCCAGGCACTGTGCTAACAGTGTAGTACTTACAAAAACCCACAAATCAGAATTTATGCTAAGTAGCAGGCGAAAATAAGATAAGTGTGATTATCCCCATTTTACCTAGCAGAGCATTGAGACTCAGAAAGGTGTCTTGATCAAGTGTCACACAAGTGTCTTGTGATCAAGTGATCAAGTGTCTTGATGAAGGTCACACAACTAATATATGGCAGAATCAGGATCCCACCTAGGTCTTTCTTTTGTCAGTGTAAAGGAAGTGGAAAATTCATTGGTATGCCGAGATCCCCCAGAGGTTTGCAGCAGAAGGCAAGCCCAGTTAAACTACTAAAGACAGTAGGGAAAGAAGGCATCAGGGAGCAATTGGTAGAGGAAGTTGCCTTTGAAAAAGGTTGGAAGAATCTCTCCACTTGGAGTGGGTCAAGATGGAACATGTGAACTAAGATAAGTTCAATAAAATGTCTCCCTTGGGTGGAACCTTGATCTAAATACAAAAGTCAAATGGAGCTCGCCTTTGTGAGGTGGTAGTTTACAAGCAGGAAGTTAATTAAACTAAAAGCATGAAGAGTCATCACAGGGCCACAGCAAGAGATAAACAAGGACTATTCTCTGATGTTATTGAGGTCCAGGGAGAAGTTGAAGCATATACCTGAACTTTGTACTCCATCAACAGGCTCCATTTCTGTTCTGGGACACTCCCAGGTAGGAGTATGGGGGGCAGGGCGCTAACATAGTAAAATACTAAAGTTCTGGGAGTGCACAAGGCATTCAAGACAGCAGCCAAGTGTCAGCGGCTCTATTTCTGCTGGAAGGGTGAAGGGTAAAGTGAAAAGGGCTGAACAGTAGGAGGTGACACTGAAAGGCCTGAATGGAAAGAAGAGGTAAGAGGCAAGCCTGGAAGTAAGTCTTCGTGGTACCATAAGGTGTAATGGAGAGAGAAGAGGCCAATGAGACAAAGATATGGGTGTCAGAGAGTTGGAGATGATGAAGTACTGAAGCACAGAGCATCATATTCATGAGTCAGATGATAAAGTTATTCAGAAGAGGGTAATCAAAATTAGTAAAGTTAATTTGGATCATACTGTATAGTTTTGTCTCTGTCACTTACCATTTCGTAAGCATCTTTATTAACCTCTCAAAATATGATTTTTAACAGTTATGTTCCTTTGTGTCTGCACACCATAGTTTAAAATAATTTTCCTATTATTTCTAAAAGTTTAACTATATTAAAGAATGTTTTGTGGGATATTTTAGAACTCTGATCTTTTTGTCTACATTTTCCATAATTCCTCCAGCAGATGTTTCCAGATTGGAATTTTTTATGTCAGACACACCTTGTCAAAAGAGAGAAATGTTTCATAATAGCTTTTAATCAAAATGTTGTGGTTTTTAAAGGCAATATATTTGAGCAATAATTTTAACTTATATTTATAACACTTCTATTTCTCAGGGAATTTGGTTTTTGTTAAGTACTACTCTACGTAGCATAACATCAAATTTTAAAATCTCTTAAGTCACAATTTTACAAAACATAAAATATCTGCACTTACCTCCAAATATTGTTTGGGGGCAACCAGGTTGGTCCAAACCTCCATTTGGGTAGAAGTCTATGTTTCCTAAAGGTTCTCTGTAGCCCATTGCTGGAAGAGAACACACTATGCTTTTACACTGCGCTGAACTTTGCACACCTCCTAGCTCATCTGCCTGCAGGATATAGGCAGAGATTATATTGTGGTGTCCTCATTATTATTAGTGCTACTATTGTTATGCCTATCTAAATTTTTTGCCCTAAATTACCCAGGTACTTATTTAGAAAGCAATGATTTCTAACTATGAGGCTATGGAAATAATGCTGGCATTGTTTCCATTCTTGTACTCATCCACTGCAAGGTTAATAAAATGTTTCTTCTTTACATTTGATTGGAACCCTGTAATTTCCAGGTGCTTCCCAAGCCTCTCATGAATAAAAAATAGGAAAAAAATTAACATTGACTTAGTAGGAAAAATCTTATAAAATTTGGGATCTAGATTGGTAAAAAATAGGAAACTCTTTTAGAAACTGGAGGCCTAAAATTATAGATATTTTTAGTAATTGCTTTTTTCTTTAATATTATACCCCAAAATAATCAGTAAAATACTTGATCACAAGGATCATATAGGTATCTGCATACATATGTAGTGCCTCATTGCAATAATATTAATAGCTATTTCATATTGAGAAACTATATGTATCTGTGGGAATGATACTATGTGGTTTACACTAACCTTTTCTCTGATTTTCACATTGTCTGCAAAGTAGATGTTGGTAAATTCAGATGAAGTAAGTTACAGGTAAACATAATGAAGCTCAGAAGATTTAGGGAACCGGGCCTCCCTGGTGGTGCAAGGGGTTAGGCAAAACACTATGAAGCAATCCGCAGCCTCTGCAGCACAAGTTCGATCCCTGGCAGACCAGAGAGCAGCCCACATAGTGCAGCAGACCTCTCCTGACTCACCTGCTGCTCCCCTCAGCGGTGTATTTCAGTAGATCTGTGCCTGTTTTTTCCCCACTGTCTCTTGTGGGTCCTCTCACCCACCCACCCCCCACATCTCTGGCCTGTTCTCCAGCTCTTGTATGCATAAACAAATAAATCTTTAAAAAAAAAAAAAAAGAAGAAGAAGATTTAGGGAACAAACATGATGACACCATGACCCTGGATTTCAATCCACGGCTGCCTGACTGCAAAGCTTTTATCTTTTTATTCTTTCCTTCAAAATTCCCTTTCTCTTCAGGCATAAAAAATAAATCGCTCTATTCCACTAAGCATCAGAATGGCATTGAGGTATGCACTTCAGTAAGGTAATATTTTGCCAGCTACGTAGTAAGAATGCAGCTGTATTGCAGAGACATCTCTTCTAAGGATAACAATTGCTGAATAGCACACCCGGGTACCCATGATAGGTGGTCAAGGGTTTCTTTCTCAGGTGGTTGTGTCACAGAGTGTGTACAACTGAATGGTCATTCTGCTCTGTCTCCTCAGCCCTATCTAGGTTGCAGCTTTCCAGTTTTTTTTCCCAGACATTCAGATATAAAGACACATCCTTCTCATCCCCAGCTCCTGAGACACTGGCTGATCCTGAATATGAAATCAGCAGCAAGAAAGACAAAAACCACAGTGTTGACCCACGAAGTCCTGGGGCACTACAGGTGTTTCAGAATCACTCCTTGAGGAGACACAAACCTTTTAGTTTAAGGTAATACTGAAAGAAACAGAAACCAAAAAGAAACAAACAAAATCACCACAGGAGCAGACCCAGTTGCACATAGGGAAACATCCATCCAAACGGTGCGCAAGTCAGCCTGTCCTGGATGGGTCAAGATGATCACTTTACAAGGAAGAAGGGACAGGAAAGCACCTCCACTTGCAAGAGAGCCTCAAGGTCTGCGTTCAACCAGCTTCCCTGTATGATTTCTGTGGGTTTGGAACTGTGCCACTGGAAATAGGGAATCTGGAGAAACCTGATCCACCCCTGCATGCCAACTCCCCCAGGGGGAGGCTCCTGGGAGTTGGGGAGGCGGGAGTGCTCACTGACCCACCAGGGCAGGAAAGTTACCGTCAGTGTCTGAGTGGATGACATCAACGAACTGAGCGTCCCTGGAATCTAATCTCTCCTCCGGAGGTTTCCCGTTGTATGAAGGGCCTGCAGGGTCAAGACCTGGAAGGAAAACAGAGTCAGCTTGGCAGCCCAACGCCATGAGTCACCTGCAGCCGGCCTTTTGATCGCTCCCCCAGTGATGGCTTAGGCTGCAGGTCACCCTCCCGTGGGCAAGCATCATGTTCCCATCCTGCTCTGCCAGGCTCCTTTCCACAGCCCTGTAGCCTTTTCCCACAGTAGAGCTATTACCCTGGCAGTACCCCTGAGAACAGCACCTACATTCCATCGGTAGGTATATCTTGTGCATGGCTAAGCACCAGACAGTGCAGGCAGAGGTGGACCAGGGGCTGAACTGGTTCCTGGGGTTTTGGTGGGGAACCAAAGTGTGCATATAAAAGCAGATGCCATACTTATCTTTATCCCACTTTGAATGATCCAGAAACTTCACTCAAGCTTTCCTTCTTTTTATAAGAAAAACAAACTCCTTTCAAGTTTCCATTTTTGTTCATCTATACTACCTCATCCAATCCACATCACAAGCCTGTGAGGGAGCCAGGGTTTCCATTATTCCCATTTTAAAGATGTGTGACTAAGGTTTAGGGACTTCAGATATCTTAACCAGAGCCATGGTCTCACAATGCAGTCACCTCTCTTTGTAGAGGTTTGGTTTCATTGCACTGGGTTTGGCAAGCCGAGTGGGAGAGTGAAACTTGCTGGCCTGGCCGGTATCACTCCATATGTCCAAGAGGGAGGAAAAAGTGAGTGTTTATTCCTACAGAACTAACCCACCCCATAAGTGCCTGAACTTATTTCTTGCCCTTGGTCAGTGTTAGCTGTGCCTCCCTCGCCATCATTAAACACTTGGAATTATAAGGGAGTAGCTCCCACAATGCTGTAAACACAACACAGTAAAATTTAAACTTAAACAAAAAGCAAAAACAACCCACCAAGGCACAAATAGTCCCTGCTTGCCAGATACCTGCCTGAAGCTTTGTATCTGTGGGCATCATTTTAATTAACACCTCCCAATCCCTGGTGTTATATAGAAAATCTAAGATAGCATCTTTGCCCCAACTGGTTTCCTGTTTCTAGTCTCAATCTTTCCATTTTTCCTCTCCAAAAGCTTTTGCTTCCTGGAGGTATTTCTTTACCTGCCACTTTCCTTATTGCTTATCTCTTTCTCCCCTGCCACCACTACCATCCCAATTGAAACTGTGTATGTGAGGAAATGGCGCAACACCTAGTCACTGGAGTCCACAGGATATTTTCAACACAGTATGGGAAACTCATAACTGGGGCAGAATTTGCTGGGGAAGCCTCTCCTGCCCCAGTGAGAGCCCCAGTGCATTGCAGCCTCCAGATCCATGTGGATAAATTGGCTTACTGTATAACTTCTAAAGCAGGGCAATTTTGAGAGTAATGAGGGTGCATTAATTATTATACTAGGACAAATGACATAAATAGGGACTGTCACAGTAAACTTGGACATATGAGCCACAGCAAATGATAAGCTTGCAAAATTACAGTCAAACTGCTCTAAAAAACTTTGTATTTTGTGTGGGTTGAGACCATTGATGTCAGAGATGTGACATGGAGTTCCAAACCTAACACCAAGCAGGCATATGACTTTAGGCAGCTTATTCTATTTCTCTGAACCTCAGTTTCCTGATGTGCAAAATGGAGGTAGACTTAATAGCTAGTTCAGAAGATTTATGAAAGGACTTCTGAATCTGAATCCAGAATATTTTAAGATTAATATAGAATAGAAACAAAATGGGAAAATGGAGTGTTTGATTATTCCTCAAAGATCATCACAAAGTGTCTAGCTAGTGATCCTTGACTTTTATAGCAGTGTTAACTTGGCTTTGAAATTTCTGAACTTCTCTCCAGGACAGGCATCCAATATGCTGTGTACAGTTTCAGGGTCCTCTAACTCTCCTCTCCAAGGTCACCATGAACCCTCTAAAACAGTGCCATTCAATATCTAATTTTTTTAACTTTTAGAAGCTACTTTAAGAAAAAGAAACAAGGACAATTAATTTGTACTTGTATATCCAAATATGTAGTCCTTGTATAACCCAGTATATACAAAATATTATCATTTCAACATGTAATATAAAAAATTTGAGGGCCTCCCTGTGGCGCAAGGGTTAAAGTCTCAGTCCTACCAAGATATTGCCAGCCTCTGCAGCAGGAGTTCGATCCCTGGCCAGGTAGCTAACCCACATGGTGCAGCAGACCTCTCTTGTCTCACCCATTGCTCCCCTCAGCAGTGTATTTCAGTAGATTCACCTGTTCTGCTCCCCACTCTGTCTCTGGTGAATCCTCTCATCCCCTGCACCTCTAGCCTAGACTCCAGGTCTTGTATGTATAAATAAATCTTTAAAAAATAATTTAAAAATTGAGATTTTTTTTTTAATATTCTTTTTTGTTATTCTTTGAAATCCAATATGTATTTTGCACTTACAGTATACTTTAGTTTGTATGAGCCACATTTCAAGTGCTCAATGACCATATGTGGCTAGTGGTTACTATCTTGGACAGAATAGTTCTAAGGTCATTTCTCAAAGAGTGGTTTTTGATCACCTGCATCTTCTGGTTAGAAGTACAGACCCCTGGCCTCCAACCCCAGAGATTCCAATTCAGTAAGTCAGCTTTATAAGCACCCCCAAGGTGATTTTTACACACAGTTAAGTTTGAGGATAAAATTTAATGTGTAATTTATATCACTTATCAAGTGATATAGATACTTGAAATATTTTAAAATCCACTCATCCTCTACATCTTCTGTTGAAGAAGTTAGGAAAGTTAGAAAGAAAGGGCAATAGAAGAGATGAAGCAATCATTGAAACTGAAATCATTATCAAGTAGAACTGGCCAGTTCTTGGGATTGAGAGTGAACTTGGTTAACATGCCAAATTCCTGCTCCATAATCCAATGAGTCCACTCAGGCAAGACAGTGGGGAATAGGAGAGGGAATGCTTTACCCTCAGAAATGCTCTTGCAGACAGCTAAGGTTGGCTTCGGGGTTCAGAGTGAATGCAGATGAGGATGGGGAAGTCAGTGAAGATAGAAAATTGAGCTACAGATCATGGTCTGAGTCTAGGCCACAGAGCACAGCCATGTAGTCCAGAGTAGAAGGAAGGCTGGCTTGGGGAATTTCCATGATCAGAGATGAGGTTACATTGCATTCACATTCAAAGTAGTCATGGCAACAGCTTTGCTGGCAGGTTAAGGAACTGGGGGTAAATGGAATAAGGCAGTGGTGGGCTAGAGGGAGATAACACCAACACTGGGGAGCAGAATTTAGTCAACTGTTCCCAAACTTTATGGTCCGTGAGATCAAATTGTAGCTTGAAGTTAGCCACAGTGGAGGGTTTACACCATGAAAATGAGTAAACAGTACAAATCACTACTTTTTTTTTTTTTTAAGACTTTTTTAGCTTCTAAACACACCACAAAGAAAACACCTACACTTTGGCAGAAGAGGAAATCCCAAAAGGTAAGATACACGAGTAAGTGCAAGCCACCCATCTTTTATACTCATAAGCAAAAAATGAAATCTTTTAAAAGTAAATGTAGTTGAGTCTAACTGATTAAATTGCTTTCATACCCTAAAGCACACAAAAATAAAAAAACCTACCTAACTTTTTCTCTGAGTTTTGTACTTAGATTCAGTAATAAAGACAGCCTTGAGCTGAGCTCCAAGGCAAGAATTGAGAACACAAAGAAATAAGGGCCATATAGAGGCAGGGCACCTTGAAAAAACTAAATCCTGGTCCTGGACACCAATTGTAGACAAAGTCTTTTCGAGTGTGTTTGAATAGCTAGGACCCTTACACAATTCCATGGTTACTGTTACTTCTTTTGATTGTTAGTCCCTTTGTCTTCAAATGTCTGGAAACATTAAAAACTTCCAAATAATTGTCACTCAAGGGTATAAATCATTGGTATTACCACCCTGTGACAACTAGTCATATCCCAAGTTAACGAGGGGATAATTTGTTAAAGGATCTATCAGTGTGGCTGTGGGGGCAGGCAATACTTTCCCCACCTCCATGCTGCACATGTCAGATGCTTTGGAATACAACTCCCAGTATGCCATGAATCACACTTCCAGAATGAGGGCTGCTGGGAAGGAAGAAAGAGCAAGATGGATATAGTGGTAGGGAAAGGAGAAGTATGGGTGATACATGGGGACTCTGCTCATGGTCCTTGATCTCAGTGGCTTTAGTGCTTTGGCAGGCAGGCCCTTCACAGACAATAGATTTAAATAGCTATCTCGGTGTGACAAAGGATACTGAGAAAGACATGAATGGGCGGAGCCCTGTGTCTCTGAAAGAGAAAGGCTCCTTCAGCTCTTGGTTTGTAGCTGTGGAAAGTTACAGCCTAACAGGCAAGACATCCCAGCAAGAGAATCTTTGTTTGGAGTTCCACCTGCTAAATTTCTGGGTGTTTTTCATTTAGCTTTGACCTGAAAGCTGATATTCAGAGAGTAAGATCCAGTCATCAAAATTCCCACCTCATTTTCCTATCACAAGACTCCAGCTATGCCTAGGGACAGAAACATATTGGGCATGTAGTTCAAACTGTTCCAGATTCAATGAAAAGAAAAAGGCTGTCTGCTTTGGATACATAGATCAAGTTCTCAAGGGACGTAGCTGTTTTCTAGTCATAAAAGAAAAAGTCATTACCAGTATTTTCTATGACATATACAATTTTAAAAATGTTTTGCACATGTTTTATTAAATAATAACCCGAGGTCAATATTATTATGGTCTTCTTTTTGTACGTATGCTTAGAGATAGATGTTAAGTCATTGGAAGAGCTGACTAAAGACTTAGATGGCCTGCATAATGTTCTCCCAATGAGCATCCTGCCCAAGCCAACTACTCCATTCCCATGCTCAGGAAGCCTTACCTGTAATTCTCCCCAGCTGCCCATCGAACATCTTTCCAACAAACCCAGCTATGTGGGCTCCTAAACTTACTCCAATCATGTAAATGTTGTCAAGAGAAGCTCCTTCTACCTGGAATTTCAAGAGGTCCATCATTATAAATTGTGAGGGGCCCAGGAGATGACAACATTTGGAGAAATATCCCAACTGTTAACTTTGCAGAAACATTTCTAAGACTTTATATCCACTATCTCATTTAGCTACATAACACTCCTGCAAAGAAAATTCCACTCTTTTGGTTATACAATTAAGGAAATGTGGCCCAGAATTGACATAATCTACCAAAGGTAGGCAGTTGGTGAGGGAGTAAAGCAGGATTCAAATCAATCTATATATCTACCTGTGTCTTAATCTTTATGCCATAATATCTCCATTCATATTTCTGCTAGAAATCACACCTGTGGGCCTTCCCTGGGCTTATTCAGATTTGCAAATGTTACAAAATAGCTCCGTGTCAGACATCTTTTGGCCTTAGATCTCCAGATAATGGGACAATTTCAACTTGGCCTGGAATTACTTAAGAGAATTCTCACTTACCAACATCCGGTCAATAAAATCCTTCAGGACTGTTGCTACTTTTTTGGTTTTACCAGTGGCCGAGGAGTATATTACAGTTGTAGCTCCACGATTCCAGTCAACAACAACCACGTTCATGTCTTCTACAGAGAGTAAACCCTGTACTAAGGCTTCCATCCAAACTGGAGCGGAGCCTGTTGGTCTGAATCCATGGATGACAAAGGTGGTTTTCTTGGCCACATTCAAGTTCCCCAAATTCACGGAGTTGACAATTTGTGGGCAGGTCCGGTTTCTCCAAGTGTAAACCATCAACCTCACGTCTAGTCCTGTACCAACCACTGCACTGTGAAAGCTCAGTTTGGTGAATGAAGGACATGTCTCATCTGTGTCTAGAAATAAAAATGAGATGGCATCATGACAATTCTTTCCTTAGGTGGGCATCAAGCAAGAGGGTGGTCTCTTACTCACTAGAGTTATTTCTACGTGACTTACAAAACCTGGCAGAGGACTGGATCTAATTGAAGAAGTGAAAAAAATCATATTTCATTCAAAGTTCACATAGGGCCTCCCTAGTGGTGCAAGGGGTTAAGACACAACCTATGAAGCTGTTCACAGCCACTGCAGCACGAGTTCAATCCCCCGGCTGGCCAGGTGGCTACCCACATGGTGCAGCAGACCTCTCCTGACTTGCCCACTGCTCCCCTCAGCAGTGTATTTCAGTCAATCTGCCTTTGGTGAATACTCTCACCCCCCATACCTCTGGCCTGTACCCCAGTTCTTGTATGCATAAAAAAATAAATCTTTAAAAAAAAAAGTTCACATAGTGAGTTCTTTTTCACCAGGAAAACCATTTTTTAAATCCTGTCCTCCTTCAAGTTCTAAGCCAAAAAGTCACCTTAGTGAAATCTCAGATTTACTCAGCCATAAGTATCAACCCAAGCTCCTGAAACTTCTTATATATGCCTTATTGTCAGCACAATAAAAACCCCTCAAGGTTGTATTATGGGTATTTATATACATGCATTTCTATCCTGCTAGAACAGAATCTCCTTGGAATGGTTTCTTACAATCTTCTCTATTCCTCATACTACCCAGCACATGGAGAGGACTCAATAACTGAATCTATATGGTCAAAGTGCCCTTTTCCTGTCTAAGAGCACCTGCCTGGGACAGCAATGGGGAAGGTAATGTGTTTCTCTGAGTCATTCAATAGCATCTGAAAATATTGATCACAGTAACATTTCTTGGACTTTCCCAATTTCAATTAACAACACCATCAGCCACTCTTAGGGATCTACCCAAAGGACACAAAAATATTGATTCAAAAGAACACCTCTACCCCTATGTTTATTGCAGCACTATTTACAATAGGTAAAACCTGGAAACAACCCAAACGCCCAAAAATAGATGACTGGATCAAGAAGATCCAGTATACACAATGGAATATTATTCAGCAATCAAAAAAGATAAACTCGTGTCATTTGCAGCAACATGGATGACACTAGAAGGAATTATGCTCAGTGAAATAAGTCAGAAGAAAAAGGAAAAATGTTGCATGGTTTCACTTATAGCAGGAATATAGGGGAACTAAATAAGACGTCAGTGTAAAAAAAATAATAACGGTACAAAACACAACAAAGCAAAAACGGACAATTATAAATCAGAGACATACTGCAGGGGAGCAGGAGGGAGAGGGATCAGAGGGAGGGGGGAGGAGCACAGGGGACTGAGGTGATGGTGCACGGGAGCACTAGGGAAGGAAACTCTATGGGGACTACACCTGAGAGGTTGGGGGGAAGCAAATATTGTTTTTAAATGAATAATGCTGTAAAAAAATTAAAAAATTAATTTATTAAAATTAAAAAATAGAAAAAGAAACACCATCAAGCATTCATCCTGCTGAGTAGACTTTAAGGATGACCTTAGAGAAAGGTTGGGGATGGGGAAAGGGACCACATGAGATGAGCCTAAAGCATCTTGAAGCAGAAGTAGAGGAGTATTTTAAAATACATCCCAAGGACACAGCGAGAGCTTGAGTCAGCTTGAAGGGCCTTCCATTTACCAAATCTAGGAAAATCAGAGTTCAAAATAATTAAGAACAGTAATGGATTATAAATATTTGAAAAAAAATAGGAATACATGACTCCATAACAAATAACCAGGTAAAGAAATGGGTAAATAAGTGGAAAAGAGCAGATCCTCAGCATAATGCTAAATGCCTTCTAGTGAATGTGGAATGAATGCTGTAGTTGAAACTCATTATTTTGCAATCATCATAAGAAAGGTTGGTTAAGCAAGAATCATCCATGAATGCTAAACCAGTGTGCACGGGGGGAGGGGAGCTTGAGGAGGAGTATATTATTTGTGTGGTCTTAAAGACCACCGATTACTTTTTAATGACTAGGGGAAAGATAGTAGGTGGAGGATTAGGAGAACACCCTGACTAGGCTGTCCAACTTATCATCATCAAGAGGGCCAGGTGAATATCGAGCTCCTATCGTTACAACACCCTGAGGGCATCATTCACACAGCATTCCTGTGGGAAATGCATAACCCACATCCAGTTGTCAAGAAAAATCAAGCAAACATAATATAAGAAATATTCAAAAAAATCTAAATGACCCATATTCTTTAATAAGGTCAATGTCAGAGAGAGAAGGAAGAGCTGTGGAAATATTTTAGATTAAAGGAGACTAACAAGACAGGTTAAATAAATGCAGTATTTGGTCTTAAACTGTATTCTGTGATGGAAGAAAAAAATGCTATAAAAGAAATTTTTGTGTCAATTTAAAAAACTGGAATCTAGTTGAAATTAGACAAAAGTATAGCATCAGTGATAAATTAATAGAGATGGTAACTCTACAGTGGTTTGTAATAGAAAAATCCTAATCCTTGGAGAATACAACTGAACTATTTATAAGGAATTGGTCAATGTATTCCCAAATGATTCAGAAAAAAACAATTGGGGATGGATAGACAGGTAGCAGATGCTAAAATATATGTAGCAAAAAGTTAACAGTAGGTGAATCTGTGTAAAGGGTTACTATGAATTTTTTAAATTCTTGTAACTTTTCTCAAGTTTAAAATTATTTCCAAATAAAAAGCTTAAATAAATTAAAGAAGAAAGGGGAGAGGGCCATGTCAGTGACATAAAGAGGAGGGGAACTATTAGTTCTGATATCATAAAGCAAGAGTAGATAAGAAAGTTTAAGACTTCTGCTCAAAAAGAAACAGGGATTTGGAAATAAACTTAAAGTCAATTTGCAAGGTGGAGAGTGTAAGAGCAAAGGAGGGCTTGGGGTCTTTGGGTAGTAAACAGAATATTATTTTTATAATGTTATATAAGGCCTTGATCAAGATCCATAAACAAGTAAAAGTTAAAAGTCTCTAATCAACATTGGTATCCAGACATAATACAACAATTAGGAAGACTGTATTTTTTTTTAATTACAAGAATTTAAAACTGTGCTGTGATCTTCTATGCCCTGCAGTCAAGTGTAAGTGAACTAGAGCAACAACCAAGCCCTAACTCCAAGGTGGAGATGGCTGCGAGGATATTCAGAAGAGTGAGCAAGGCCCTGAGGAGGACCATTCTTGGGGAGAGGGGGCAGGAGAAGACTCTTGACTTGCAACTGGTCCACAGAAGACAAGAGTGCCTGGGAAACATCACCTCTGGTTCCTCCAACAGGAGTTTAGAAACCATCCCCCACAGAATCTTACACTCAATACATCTACATTTACACACCCAGGAATTGCTTCTCCCTTCCTCTGAGCCTGAGAGTGGCCTGCAGGCTGGAGTGTCCGACCTTCCTTTATCACCAGCGTCCATTCACGTATGCTTTCACCTGAAACCACTGCCTAGGCGCTGGTATGCAGGAGTATAGAGAATGAGCCAAAGAATCTGAAATAGAAGGTCAAAATTTATGGAGGGGACCTCCCTAGTGGGGCAAGGGGTTAAGACGCAACACTATGAAGCTATCAGCAGCTACTGCAGCGAGAGTTTGATCCCCGGCTAGGGAGGTGACCCACCTGACAAGCAGATCTCTCCTGACTCGCCCGCTGCTCCACTCAGCATTGTATCTCAGTACATCTGCCTGTTCTGTGTCCCACTCTGTCTCTGGTGAATCCTCTCACCACCGCCACCACTGCCCCCCGCATCTCTGACCTGCACCCCAGCTTTTGTATGCATAAATAAATAAATCTTTTTATCTATTTATTTAAAGATTTATTTATTTATACAAGAACTGGGGCACAGGCCAGAGGCACCAGAGGGTGAGAGAATTCACCAGAGACAAAGTGGAGACACAGAACAGGCAGAAGACACTGTTGAGGGGAGCAGTGGGCGAGGCAGGAGAGGTCTCTGCACCATGTGGGAATCTCCCTGGCCAGCCGGGAATTGAACACATGCTGCAGAGGCTGCAGACAGCTTCAACCGCAGCGCTCAACAGTTTATTTGGAGGCCCTAAATAAATCTTTTTAAAAAAAAAATTATGCAGGCTTTGAAAACCCTCACCCTGGAAAACTTGGGAGATTCCTGCTTTTGTTCTACCTTATCTAGTAGTTTATGGAGTGAACCTCACTCTCACTGTAAATATGGTCTTTCTGGTTGTTGTTTTTTTCCAGTTTTGTGGGAAAAAATTGACAATAACATTGTGTAAGTTTAAGGTACATAGACAATTTTCCCCACACACATATTGTGAAATGATTACCACATAAGGTTAGTTGAATACATTCATCAACACACATAGTTAAGGTGTGTGTGGTAAGAACACTTAAGATCTAATCTCTTAGCAAATTCCAAGCAAACAATATAATGTTAACTATAGTCACCTCTCTGTACATAGATGCCCAGAATTTATTATGTAACTATTTCCTCCATTTGTTGGACGCTTTCATTTTTCTCTTCCTGTAGATTGCTGGGAGCTATAGAACATGGACTGAAACTTGTCTGGTGTTACAGAGTAAGCCCCAGAATAAGTAATTGACTGTTCAATTAGTCACTTTATTGAAAAGGAGGTATCTCAGGATTGGGCTGAGCCTCTCTCGGTCTCAGTCATCATAAAACTGGGTTTTGTTCCTGGTTGCTGGGCTGACTCACTAGGAGGCCTGGGGAAATTATGTCATCTTTCACTTGCTACTTACCTGCCCAACAGAGGAATGTCATGGAGATGAATTATGAATGAGGCCAAACTGGGGAAGACAGAGATCCCTTTGCAGAGACAAGGTCTATTTAACACCATGTCTGGCCATTTTGAACCAAATGAGCGGCGTTGGCCAAGATGTCCTAAGTCACATATCTGGGTCCTTTAAAGGTTTGGAAAAGAGTTGTAAAGTTTTGAGCCAGACCTATTTTGTAGCAGGAACTGCCAACTTTAGTGTCTATAGAATG